ATCGTTAGTTGCAGCCCTACAATAAATGCACCAAAATAAGGAACAAACTTAGCTTCTATGCACCCAGTGCACTCACTCATTGTAGAATCTTAACTAGTGAAAGTATTTTGATGCAGTTTTAACATTTTTAGACTTCAGTTTTTTCGGAGTAACGTCCTCAAAAGTCTGGCTTTTATTGCTCCATCTGCATATGCTCCTTGGAACAACTCAGAGCTTCCCAACACAGCAGAGCGGTATGGCGTAGTTTTTGTTCCACATAACAGAGTGTAGTTACCAATCTTAGCGAGCAGTGAGACAGAGTGCTGTTCTCAATTCCTTCTCCCCTCTCAGTAGCAGGTAAAGCATCTTATATCTTTGTTTATGTTATCCAGGTTTACTGGGGCTGGCTCCCACCTCTGTGCGATGGACCTGTCTGATGATGGATCTGCGCTTCACCCTTTCTGTCTACCTCAATTGTCACCACAGTCACCTCAAGAGCATCAAACTTTGTGCCAACATGGTGGTGAAAAACATGTTCACTAGTGACCTGCTGCTTGATCCAGGTTAGAATGGAACCCATTAAAGGAATGGTCTTTACTCAAGGGTTTGCTGACTCCCTATCTGTACCACCGTATGTTATGATGAACAAAATAACTACCCACTGTAGAAAATGTGTGGCATGATATGAAATTCAGTCGATCAAGGCAAAATAGGTCATTTTTGATATAGCTTTCATTGTTTTAAATACAACACTATTATCTTTTTTGTTACAGGAATCACCTTCAATGAAGCAAAGCAAAGAGGTCTGTCTTCTTCTCAGGGAACAGGTCCAATTCCCAGAGAGATGTCATTCCCAGTTCCTAAAGGAAGCTCCTGGGATGATCTTTATGACCACATAAAGTACGGCTACCTATTGGAAAATCAGCTCTAAACCTCTTTCTTCATAATCAGGATAGTTTTGGCTAAATTAGAATAGGAATTGTCCTGCAATTTGTAATGGTTGTGGGTTAGATTCCAGCTTCCTACCGTAACATGTTGAGTGTGTCAGTTTATGAGATGGATTTTAACTCTTGTACGAATGGTAAGATAAAAAAAAAATACTACATATATTAAGTTCACTTAGCATTGCTAAAATCATGGTTATGATGTGACCTATTCTGAATTCCCATCATATCTATGCTGTTCTGATAGAAAAAAAATGGCATAGTAGATTGGATTTTCCTTTTCACTTCCACACAAAATATATTTCGGGGTTAATCAGATTTATTCTGCAAACTTATAAATAATGACCACAGATAATTTTATTCAACAGATTTCCCTCAGAAGGCTCAAAGCTACCATTTGACTCCATTCAAAAAGAAGATCTGAAGCCAAAATCAAGTAAGGATTCTCAGACAACCACAACCTTTTGCAACCCCTTCAATTAGGGCTTAGTTTGTTTTGTTTAAATTAGCTTTATTCCTTCAGATTCAGACCAGCAGAAATGTTTTTTTTTGTGTTTTTTTTTTGCATAGACCAACATGTGTGGCGAGATGAGAAGCTGTGATCTTGATTGTGTTTTTTTTACTTTACTAGATCCAAAAGCTATTATTTGTAATTGTGGCCCACTGTCATTGCCTGACTTTGTCATCTGTCTCTTTAATTTGAATTGACTCCGAACATGTTCAGATTAAAATGTCTTTTTTACTTTATAGAAATATGCAAATCAGGTGAGATAAGGCTGGTTGCTTTGACAAAATTACCCAAACCCCTATTTAGAAAAACAAATAAAAATTTAATTAGGTACTTCTTGTTTTGTTTTCTGCCTATAGTTATGGATTTCAGGGATTGATGTTGGGATCAGACAAGATCAGATTTCTCGTCCTTAAAACAGCATTTTAGTTGATTAAGCTTTATTATTATTTTTTTTTTTTGCTCACAATGGCTTTTAATTCACCTGTGAAAGGAGGTTGTAACTTGCCAGTCCATGTTTTTATTCCACATAAAAGCAATTCGGTTTGTTTTTTCTACAATTGTAAATCACTGATTTACATTAAATGTTTTCCCAGGAACTGCTTCAGGACAAAGAAGCCCAATAACTGAGGAGGCCCACTTTGCCAAAATTAGCAGAGCAGTTCAAGACAGAGTCTCCCTCCGCCAGCAGATCAGGATCCCAAAACTAGTAATGACTTGTGATATTTTATATATTTTATATTTACCTTATATTGTTTTGCTGAACAAAGTTTTGAGTGAAAATAGAAACATTTTTACAAAAAAAATCTCAAAAAATGGTTGTTTGTTCGACTGCTCTTTTTTTTTTTTTTCTCAGCTACCAAGAAGTGAAGCATCGGTGGCATCCAGCGAGCCTGAGTCGAGTGGATTTTCCTCTAACCTGAAGGGTAGTTCTCGCTGTGATAATGACCTGCTGCAGGATTCGACCGACTGCTGCTCACACGATGCCTCATCCCAGCCACACCGAGTGACGGATGATGGTGGGATTCACGTGTACGTGCATCCTGAAGATGCCCTCAGCATGCATGGAGAAGAAAGTGAAGACGAGGTGACGCTTCATGTAGTTCTGGACGACTAGAATTAGGCTCCAAACTAAATCTACAGAAACATTAAAACAAGAATTTCTATCTTTTTATATATTTTTTTTTACTTTAGCATGTTCTGTCCATGAAAACAAAAAAAGAAAATCAGACAAAGATAGTTTTTTCTATAGCTTGTAATAATTTAATTTACTAAGGAAAGAAAAGCTGTCCAAACCAACTGGACCCTATTATTTTACTTAGAATTTGTCTGTCTGTTTATTTCTTAGCATTAGTGGCCTGTACTTAAATAGCGCTTAGGTCCTAAGCGTTACACTACATTCAGTCATTCACCCATTCACGCGCACACTGATGGTGGCAAGTTACATTGTAGCCACAGCTGCCCTGGGGCTCACCGACAGAAGTGGGGCTACCGTACACTCACACCTCCAGTCCCTCTGACCACCATCAGTAGGCAATGCAGGTGTCTTGCCCAAAGACACAACGCGCCGAAACCCAGAACCAGGGCTCGAACCAACAACCTTCCAACTGCAGGGCAACTCCTGCACACAACGCCACTGTCACCCCATAGACTAACAATAAACTAACTGTTAACCTTCAATTTTAGGTGGTTTGCACCACAGGGACGCATCCTATATCTCTACCATCATTCAAAGAAAGCAGACACCAGGTAAGTACAGCTAATTAGCTTCCAAAAAATACTTTCATAGTAATTATTCATTTTTCTCTGTTACTTTCCTCATCAGGAGCTGCTTCCCGACCCGATCTTGAGGCTCAGTCGAATCATCGGCTTTGGAGGAGCCACTAGCAGATGCGTATGTTAATTCCATCTTACACTGTTAATAAAAGGCTGTTTGAATACTTGAAGCTGGGTTATATGGAGGTTTTACAGTACAACTCTCTTATCCTGCAGGCTCTTTGGACCAGATCTGGGGAGGCTGTGGTGTATCCGTGTCACGCTATTATTGTATCTATGAATATTTTATCCAGAGAGCAGAGATTCTTCATCGGGCACACTGATAAGGTAAAGTACTTTATTATTTTCTTTGATCATGTTGAATGGGACCTCATTTTTAATTCACCTTCAGAGTATTTCACCTTATTTTTCAGCAGATAAGTCACTTTTTTTAACGTGTTTTGGCCAATCTATACTCTAGAGTGACTTATACATGAAAATATACTGGTAGATTCTCAAATAATACACTGTATTGAAATGATTTTACATGACAGAGTTGCTTTAAGTTTTAAAACAGAAATGCAAAGGTTGAAAAAATGCCTCCGAACAGAAAATCATGCTCTGCAGACTACAAGTTGCGAGTGGTGAAATATGCATCCGAAGAATGACCTTGCCGTATTGCACATTTTCTTGCTTCACATTTTTCGGCACCCTGAGTGACATGGTTGTTGTGAGTAATTACATCGGTTGCAGAACAACATTCATGTATTCTGTCCAATAAATCTTCTCAATTCAAGGTGGCACCATTTCTTCTTTTTTTGTCAGAATATTATCATCTGAACTTTTCATGTTAACATACATGTAAGTCCAAATAAGTCCTGTGTAACTTATTTATTGTTTTAGTCAGCTCAGTGCAGCAGTGTTGATCACTGCTGCCTTGCAGCAAGAAGGTTCTGTGTTTGATTCCCAGGTCGGGGTCTTTCTGCATGGATTGCATGTTCTCCCTGAGCATGTGTGGGTTCTCTCCAGGTATTCCGCCTTCCACCTACAGTCAAAAACATGACTGTTAGGTTAATTGGCTTCTCTAAATTTTCCTTAGGTGTGAGTATGTGCGTGAATTGCTGTTTGTCCTGTTTTTCTCTGTGTTGCCCTGCGATGGACTGGCGACCTGTCCAGGGTGTACCCCGCCTCTCGCACGTAGACCGCTGGAGATAGGCAGCAGCACCCCTCGCGACCCAGCTTGGTATAAGCGTGACGTCAACACTTGTACTCTTGTGTGACTTTAAGTCTGGAAAGTATGGTACAGGCTACGCTCTGAAATGCATCTCTTTAAAAAGGTGACTCACAGTGACCAAACGTGACTGAATGGGTCACCTCTTTCAGTTTCGAAAATGGGAGGTTCTGACTTTTTTCTTTACCTAAGGGGCACACAACTGTGTCAGAAGACTGAAGTCACTGGATTGTTTTCTGCAAATGCGCCACATGGGAAGATAACCTTCATTGCATGCCCAGAACTGGCTGGAGGGGCAGTATTTCCCTTCTGGCCATGGTTGCCTCTGTAACCTAAGGTAATGGTGGATGAATAGATTAATTTCCTCTTGTTTTCTCTCTATAGATCTCTACTCTGGCTTTGAATGGAAATACCACACTGCTAGCCTCAGGACAAAATGGCAACAACAGTGTAGTCCTAATATGGGACTACAATCAAGGACACCGTCTGTCAATGTTTAGGGCTCATGCTCATTCTTTATGCTCTCTGAGGTAAGCTTATACCTTTAATTCATTCTGTTCCTCAGTTATTTTGCTTGGACAGTGAAGTTATTCTTTCTCTTTTTTGTATTAATCTCCTCCCTTTGGAAGTTTCTCTTTTGGAGGTGGCATTCTCTGTGGTGTGGGTAAAGACAGACACAATAAAACGGTAAGTTCCACTAATGTAAAATGTACAACCAGAAACACTTAGGTGATGAGTTTAATAAAGATTAAATGCTTGGGTTCACTAGCAAGGCTGCAACAAACGGCTATAAAAACATCATGAGCCTGATCTTTAGAAGACTGATGTATGTTCAAACAGAGTTTGTATGGGCAGAGCAGATCTTCAGAGAAGATGCGAATTGATTTGCTTTTGTCATACAGAAAAAAGCGTCTGCAAAGTTTTATTGCATGTGTGCCTTCATTCGTATTGAGCTCATATTCTAATGACAAATCTGAGTAAACTCATGGATGGAGGATAGACAAACTTCACCATTTACAAAGCAATTTTTTTTAACTGCTTCTGAAAGTCAGGTGGAAATTGACATGCAAAAATATCTGCAGTCAATGTTTCTACAAAATAGGCATTGGTACAGAGCCAGTGGATGGAGAGAGATTGTGTGCGTATTTAAACATAGTTAGACCGTCTAAAATAACAATAGTGCAATAACATTAATAATGAAAAAACATGCATGCAGGCTGGCATAAATTAATATAGCAGGACAGCAAACAGTTTTTCTTTCTCTATTTGATTTATCTTTATGTTTGTTTTAGATGGTGGTGGTGTGGAACACTCTAAATGTTTCTAGAGGTGGAGACGTGACCATCTTGGCCAAAGCGCACACAGATGTGGATATTATTACCATGAAGGTTGCCTTCTTTGATGACACAAGGTAGCCTGCTTATTTATACTGTTTTTAGACAAAAGAAGCATTATGCAAACTTTTTTTTAATTGATTTGTTTATTTGGTTGGAAATTATATCCTAACAGGACATATAAGAGCCTCCATATTTATTGGTGCCACTTTTAGGATGTGTAAAAAAAGATTAATTGATGTTTGTCTGCAGTATCTTTATCTTAACGTTATTTACTTGGTAGGACCCTGCATTATAGAAATGTTTTTTATTTAAAATCTGATGAGCTACTCTTAATTGCACCTGTTAGTATAATGTAGAGCTTTCACCTGCCCTCAAACTTCTATAAGGTTTTAATATTCAGGTTTTAATTTGTTCTGGATCTTCTCATATGCATGCATCTTTTTGCAAAACAGAGGTATGTTTTTTCTGACTGATGCGCAAGTTTTCATGATAACATTCCTTGTATTTTAAGGAATGAATTATTGCATGCTTTTCTAACAAGGCTGTTTGGAGGAAAAGCTGGCCCACAGCATCACAGTCCCTCCATTATACTTAACACTGGGCATGGGTTGCTTTTAATCCTTTATTTCACCCCAACTGGAATGTTTGTTGCAAAAAGAACAGATACTTGTCGCATCTCAACTAATCACAGAGGACTAGGTTAAAGTAGCTCCAGTCATTCTAGAGTAAATTTGGTTTGTAATGGTTGGACAGCAAGGATTGGCTACCAAAAAAAGCTGTTTGACTTGTATTTATTTAATTCTTTTGTGAATCACAGATGCTGCTTTCTGCTGAACAGGAAAATTGAAATGTTCCTGGAATAAAAAGCCGTAGAAATATCTTTTAGGTTTCAATTGCATATATTATAAAAAAAAAAAACAGGTGTGAGTAAGTGTGGGACACATACTGTGATATTGAATCTTGCAGTGTGATAACATACAGCTGCAGAAACTATTTTCTAGGATTTTGTTGAAGACTCCTGTATTTGCTATCTGTTCTTTATCTACAAATATAAAAGCTAATATTTTGAGCTTCTACATTTCAGTATAAATAAGTTGTTCTGTTTTCTATGTGAGGAATGGAGCCTGGATTATAGTTTTTACACAACAGTTGTCCTTTTTATTTATGCTGTGCATTAAGAGATAGAGAAACATCCCTCTGCAGAGGAAGAGGGTTGGTTGCTCCATGTTTAACCAGTTTAAAACTATACATTCATTCAAAATTTAGGATCGGTTTTACAGTCTGAAGCTACAACGGTAATGAGGCATTCTAAATGTTTTGTCAACATAACTTGATTCCAAGATGCTGAATATGTGAGGCTGCAGAAACTGGCTAATTGTTTAACTTTCAGGATGGTCTCCTGTGGTCGTGAAAATATCCGTCTGTGGAGAGTTCGGAACGGGACTCTGAGGTCCTGCCCTGTTAACCTCGGCCATTACCACTCACTGGACTTCACAGATGTGACCTTTGAGGAGGGGATCTCCTCTGATCAGTGTGTTGATGATCGAACGCTGTGAGTGAGCGAACATGGCCTTCCTCTCTAATCTGAATCTATTAAGATATTCTTAGTAAAGGTTTTTATTTCTTCCATTCTCCTGCAGATTTGCCTGCACTAAAAGTGGCCATATATTTGAGATAGACTACAGCAGAGTAGCTGTTAAAAACGTAAGGAAGTTGTTGCCTGCACAGCAGCAGCATGCAGACGGCAGGGAGAACTGCTCTTTTAACACCGGTAGGTTTCAATAAGGTCACTAATGCTCTGCAGTGGTTAGTCAGGAGTGTTTCTTTTTATTGTGGAGAACTAAAAACATTTTTTGATTACCTTAAAGGGATGTGTAAATAGCATTTCTGTATCTGAGCTTCCATAATTTAGTTAATTAAACAGATTTACAGTATTCCTGCTGAAATGTGTAACTCAGGCATCTATATTTCTTACACAGGTTCAGGAATTGCCATCAACAGCATCAGCGTCTCTTCCTCATTCTGCGCCACCGGCTCCGAAGATGGCTTCCTGCGGCTCTGGACCCTTGATTTCTCTGCTATCCTTTTAGAGGCTGGTATGCCAGCAGGAGACTATGGGTTTTACCCGCAGTAAACAAACTGTACCCAGGAGTTTAAACTCTGCAGGCGACCATTTAATCTGTAGGGCATGCATGATCAGATTGACATTTTCTTGTGTTCAGCTGGTGTTTTTTTTTTTTTTTTATTCCTCCTCATGATAGATTCAGTGGAAAAGGTCATATGAGTAGTACTGTAGCATACTTTTTTTTGGGGGTCGGGTTTGCACCTCAGATAATCTACATAATAAATAAATAAATATTTAAAGTCAGAATTAAAATTTTGCAATGTTGCAACTTAATAAGGTTGTAATTAGAGCTTTTAAATACACTAAAAAAGAAATGGGAGTGAGACAAAAAGAAAATGCAATAAGTAGGTAACTGGAAACAACCGTTACAATAAAATAGACTGTTCTTCAGATAATCAAGCGTTTATGAACCCTCCTCAGAGTCATCTTGGAGCAACATTTCCCTTAGCTCTCTGAAAACACTCAGATTAAGTATGGTGCAGTTACTCATTACCAAGTTCTTTTATAAAAAAGATTTTCAGGTAGTTGGTTTTTTTTAGGTAGTTGTCTTCAACTTTTGATCAGCTTATGAACAGTATTTTTTGCAGTTTAAACATTGTTTTTGATAAATTGGTCACTCAGTTTTCTTTTTGTTTCACGCCTATTTCCTCTTTTTGCATCTTTGCGTCCTAACAAGGTTCTAAGTTACACTAAAACATGTTAATCTAAGTGACACATTTGTTCTTAAATTGTGCAGATGAGACACTTTGCCATTTACATTTAAGATAAGAAAACAACTGCAGTCTCTATTTTAAGTGTACAATATCTAATTATGTATTTTAAGGGGAAAATGCTCATTCCATTGGCAGAAAATCATATTTTCTTACTGAAATTAAGGGTAGAGATTTTACTCATTTTCAGAATGTTTTTTCTGTGTAGGAGCAATGAATGTTTAGATCAGAAGTTTCATCTGAACGTAAGACACTAAACATTTCTTAGATGCAACATTTTACAGTTAGGCATGACTCCAACCATTCATCACAGGACTCTCCATAAACAAAGCTAAAAATGTCCCAGTTCCAGATAGACTTGGACTAATTACCAGCATATGTGCACCTTATTTGTCTAGTCTAAATGCTGTAGATTTTTAAGTAAATATAAGAATTACTTTAAAACCAGTGGAATATTATCATGCTCTGACTTTCAGAAACCAAGCTAAGTTTTTTTTCCCTTTTAAAATTTGTGGAATGTGCAGATACAGTAATAGGATCTGACAACCATTTTGACAGATTCAAGGCTATGATTTTGGACTTAAATCCCCAGAACATAAAAATATGTAATTTTTTTTCTTTAAATTTGAGTCTGAAAATGTATTTCTGTCATGAAAAAGAACCCTGAACTTCCAGGATGCTTTTATGAGATACAAAATATTTAATAAAAAAAAGTAAATAAACCCAAAACGGCATATGAAAGAGTCTGGGACAAGAGGTTCAGTGGCTGAAGATGAAGAAATAACATGTCTCTAAGCCTTAAAAAAACTTCTTATGGATAAATAGGTGGAATATGAGTCATTATAAATCCCTGCTGTAGTCTTAGAAAATAACAGCACTTTCAACACATTCCATGAAACTGTCATTATATAGAGTTGCCTTTTCTCTTTGTGACCTTTTTAAAAAAAGCTGCATAACACATATGTTTACTTACCTCGCTGTGTAAGCGATGGAGTTATGTGGAACATAGCTCCTGGGTTTTTGAAGCTGCAAATACAGCGTTTGAATATTTAGTTTAATATTTTGAAAAAGTGTTGGAATAATTTATATTTCTCACTAAAAGAAGATGCACCTTTTTTTCTTTTAGTATTACACGGTAATTATAAATTCCAGTGTTAAAAACCTTTTAAAAAAGCAAATCTTTCTTCTTTTAATCATATCAGTAACAAATATCAAAGCTTTAGTTTGAAAGGGATTTGTAGCTTTTAAAACCTATTAATTTACTTTAATGATTTCAGTTTTCTGACTATTAAAGCATCGTGATTCAGTTTACTGTTAGCTTTTAATGAAAAATCTTACTAAAACTGATAAAACATCTGTGTGAGTGTTTACTTCTTTCAATGCAATCCTCAGCATGAAGTTTAGGTGTTTATTCCACTGCTCTAACAAACCTAACGAGGGCTTCACTGTTTTCCAGAGCATGAAGGGCCAGTGAGCGAGGTGTCGATCTCATCTGACAGCCTACAGGTGTTGGCAGCCACCACCTCCGGAAACCTGGGTTTTCTTGATGTGAGCACCCGTGGCTACAACACCCTGATGAGGTCACACACTGACGCCGTGCTAGGCTTCAGTGTGGATGGGATTCGGCGCCATCTAACAACAGCCTCAGCCGACGGAACGGTGCGGGTGTGGAACATGGATTCCTTGCATCAGGTTCATTAATCTTATTTGGTTAAATGGGTTCATATATAGTATGTCAAAAATGTATACAAAAAAATTTATTTTATTGGATGTGTTTTCAGGATGGTTATTGAAGTTTAGAAATAGTTCACACCCCCAGGAGTCTTCCAGACAACTTTCGATCTTACGTAGTTCTACAGGTCCAGTCTTTCATTTGTAAACCGTGCCCATTATCCATCTCCTCATAATAGGCAAGATTCAACGCATAAGCAGAAAAATCACAATTGACGTTATTGTCCCATTACCCTAACAACTAAAGATCCCCATTCACCTAGAATTATCTCTAGACCTTAACGACAAACACTTTTGCCACCATTCTGCTTAATTTCTGGTTTTAGTTTTAGTTTAGCCACTACTGTGTGAAATATACCTTGATTTAATGTGTTCAAAGGTATGTATGTGCAGCATTCAGTACCAATCATATGACAAACTCCACCCAGTTTAACTAAAATATAATCCAAAGCTGGTTTATTTTAAATTGCCATTGTACTAGTCTCATGTAATTGGTCGCCTATTGCTATAAACCCTTCTACTGTAAAGTAACCATTCTCTGTTGGTTATAGTTAACATAGTTTACCCATGCAACATTTTTTTTTTTCATTGCTTGATGCATCTTGGTTGTCCAATAAGAATCAGGTATTCAGTTGATAAAATTTATCCACCAAAATATTTATTGGCAGATGAAGTGGAAACTTAAGGAATGCATTTCCCTCTGAAATGCACTGCTTGCAAAGAACCCCGGGATAGTTAAAAACTGAACTGGGACCAGCAACACAGTTCTTCCTGGTTTCTCCTTGTGGTGTTTCTAATTCTCCTTTAAACTGGTCAGCAAGCAGGACCACATGACGTAATTTATTTCTTGTCATAAATTGGACTTTTTTTTTATGTTTTCAGAATATTTGTAAAAGATTTTCTGGTTTTTGTGTTTTGTTTAGTTTTTTTCTGTGTCCCTTGAATGTGTCCATATTTATACTTAATATACTTAAATTCTTAGCCCCTGTTGATAAACCATAGAGTTGGGTGAAAAAAAATTATGTGATTCAGTGTGTCATCAGCAGAAAGGTTTTGGTAATTCAACCTAATTATGTAGTTTAAAGCTCATTGAGAGTGAAAGGAGTGTTTCTTTGGCGATGTGCATGCATTTTTGATGCGGAAATCAGTTTTTTTTCTAAGACTGTTTTTTTTTTTTTTTTTTTTTTAATCTGATAACAAAAGATGGGTTAGTGCAGCGGGACCCGCAGATGTGTTTATATTGTAAGATATAAACCTCACTCTGTGCCACTGCAGCATCTCACAAGTATTTTTTTTTTCTGTGTTCTCTGATTAGTTGTATGATTTTGTGTCAGAAGACAATCCTTGCTCCGTGGCATTTCATCCACATGAGCAGACCTTCTCGTGTGGCTTCAGCTCTGGGATCGTCAGAGTTTTTGACATTTCCAGCTCCAAGCTGTTGGCTGAGCATAAGTAAGAAACGTTCCTGACAGCACTTTTTTTTTGCTTTTATTTTGGTTGAGAGAAGATCCCTGTGAAAAACAGCTTTAGAACCGTTGATTTTGTTTCCCTCTCAGACAGCACCGAGGTGAGGTAATTGGATTGGCCTTTTCTGCTGACGGTGAGTTCATGTACAGCGCTGATTCGGAGGGATCTTTGGCTCTTTACAATGCGAGTGAGGAGGATCACCTTTTAACCAGAGTGACATGTATGTATTTATGTTCATACAACTGAATGTGTCCATATTCCTTCACCTGCCTTATAACTGTAATGTCAATTGAAAGTAGATAGAATTAAAACAAAAATAAATAAAAAAAAACTTCAGTAATGATTCAGTAATAGTTTTAAATTTAAAATGACATGTGGAGTTTTTATTTCTGTCCTTTAAATATGCCATCTATGGAGCTAAATCAGTGATGACTTACATTGACATTAAATGTGAAATATGCCATTGAATAACTAAACACTGAATTTTCAACACACTGAAAAGTCAATCATTGAATATTAAGAGTCGTAGGGAAGTCGTATTTAAATGTCAAATCATTCTGACTTAAACATGTATATAAATGTACTCTTTATCAGACTATATCGTCCCAAAATTTGGAAAATTTTTATTTTAGCATTTCTATTTAGCATTTCTATTTTAGCATCTTACCAGTGATGTATGTCCCAGTGTTCACGGGGATGGACGTCTGTGTCGACGGCAGGCGTAGAGCTAACAGAACTGGAAGCGTTGCGAGGCAAAGGCTCAAACATGTACGGCTGTAAGCCTTCTACACCAAACCAAGCTTCTGCCGCCCTGGCGTCCTCTTCCACAACATCTTCGTCCCCACTTTCCTCCTCTAAATAAAAAATGTATGATGGAGGAGACTCATCCACGACCTCCGACACCAAACTCTCCTCCTCTTGCATGTTTCCCCTGTCCATAGTGTTCCTTGACGGTGTCGTTTCTAAGTCACCAATTTAGTGCTACTTGGTCCCAAGATGCTTCCGAGACAAACGGCCAAAACCAAACTTTGTTGCGAATCTTCCACCACAACAAACCTGCTCCCTTGATAAACGACCAATCACATTCGCTTTATTCACTTGTTAAAGTCGGGCACCACTCGGGAGGATTCAGAAATGCAACGGTTGAAACAGCCGCTTCCCTACGACTTTAAACATTGAGAATTCAAAATTCCATGTAAAATAATATGAGAACAAAGTACTTTTTTTTTAGCTACAGTGTTTTTTCAATGAGTCAGGATTTCAGTGTCACTGCAGAGTTTGTTCAGCTAAACTGAAGGTTCCTTCTGGTTCCTTTACTGATCCACTGATTTAGCTCCAAAAGCTAACTTGAGCTTCTGTTCTCACCTTGAAATATAGGTCCTGGGTTAATTTAACTTGACTTACTGGATTACTTGTTGTTTTCTGCTGCCAACAGAAAACAATTACAAAAAAATGTATACCCTTACTTGTGCTTGAGTGACACTGAAATCATCCCTCATTGAAAAAGTGCTGCAGCTAAAAATGACAGAATCATACATTTTTAGTTTTTTAGAAATGTAATTGTGTAATTTTTCAATGATTACTTTTCAGTGTTTAGTTTTTCAATGTTTTTGTTTTTTCAATGCCAAATCTCACATTCAATTTCAGTTCAAGCTGTCACTGATTTAGCTCTTAAGCCATGTTTCAAACCTACAAATATTTGAATAATTAATCATTTGACCATAAGAAATGTAGATCTGTAAAGTACTTTTAAAAATACTTGAGCTCTACCTCTTTCAGTGTTGGTTTTTGATATTTATAAACTTTTCAGAATCTAAAAGGTTGAACTTTGTCTGCATCTTTGTTAATCTTAAGATTTTTCATTCAACTAAAGGTTTAGAGAGTTAACAGTTAAAATCAGGAACCATTTTTTAAATTGAGCAGCTGCATGCTGCATTAATGCTGTCTCATTGAACCAGTCTAATACCCTGCAGGTAACGTTGTGGCCCGTGGCACTGAACGTGCTCCAGATGCTCTCTCTGTCAGCGGAGACAGCAGCCGGCTGGCATTTGTTGGTCCCTCTCAGTATATCGTCACCATTGCTGATGCTCGATCACTGGATGAGGTATTCTGCCCCTTTTCAATTTGTGGAATTAGCTCTATCAAAATAAAATCTCAGATCATTTTAAGTGCAGTTAGATAACATCTGTCATCCATCTGATGTATGTGCTGAATTGTTTTATGTAGTCAACTTAAAGGTTGAATTTGTCTCAGTTCCCTCAGCACTCATCCCTGTCTGGATTGTTGCATGTTTTCTTTTTCCAGCTGCTGCGTGTCGATGTGAGTATTTTGGATGTGGAAAGCCCTCAGTTGGATTCAGCACTGAAGGTCTGCTTCTCTCCGGCCTCAACTGAACATTTGCTCGTCACTACGTCTGCAAACAAGATCCTTTGGCTCAGCTCCAAGACCGGCCGTCTACTCCGACAGGTAAGGGCTCAACTCTATGTGCACATCGGGTGCTCAGATTTAGTATTATTATGAGACGGATGGGTTGATGTTTGTTTGTCTTTTGAAATAATACACGATCATATCGTTGATAGGGTATTTTTATCATAAAGTGGTTTCGTAAACATGTATTGATTAAGTTTTGTGTGCAGTTCTCTGATCATCTCCAAGAATATGGAAGAATTTAGGAATAATCAATTGGGACATTTCCATCAACATTTTCTAATGTGGATTTTAAAGTTGATGGAAATGTCAAAATTTGAATCAACTCCGTTAAATTTGCAAAAAACATTTTACTCTCACTTGAGGTGTTTTTTTGTCTGTTGTGAAAAACTGTTGATGTGGAAAATAGATGAAAAATGATTTTTGAATCAGCTCTGACATAGCAACCTAAAACTCAGGTGACTGATTTTTAGGTTTTGATGGCACCGTCTTTTCAGATGTTCCTGTTACGCCTTCATTAAATCTTTCCTCCATTACTGATCTGTGGTCAGTGCTAGATTGTGGCCTCTACTTTCCGTTTACTGCAGCCACGTGTGACGACGTAATATGGACGCCTTTAATAGTGCTTGGTTAATTTGCTTTAAGCCAAATTGAAATGCCGCAAAGTCGCATTTCCTTTTTTTTTTACTTTTAAAAGTTTGCTTAAAATTCAAATTTATGTTGAATGGAAACATGGCTGCTGTTAAAATGAAAATGTCAAAATGATATTCACCTCTCTGTTGGCTTGGCCATTGTGTGTGAAGCAAAGGTCTAAAAATTGGCCAGTTTCCTGACTCCTATCATTGATCAGGAGTCAAACAATCAGAATCTTTTCTTGCTAAATACATTTATAAAAACTGGAAACATGTATTTTCATTGAACAACCAGATTATTTCTTGATGCTTCTAATAAAAGATTTCATTAAGAAGAAACACAGATTGCTGTTGGAAACGGATGCTTTGTTTGCTTCATTTTCTGTGTTGGATTGAACCCCCCCTCCACCTCCCACTTCATTAATGTTTGACTGAAAGTCGTGACTCACAGCTAGTTCTGAGAAACAGAAGCCCTTCAATGAAGGGAAAAAATCTCATCATTTGATCCCCCTCACAAACCATGAGGGAGTATTTCGGTCTCACCCATGTTTTTGTCTCCATAGGTGTCCAATGTACATAAGCATCTATGCTCTTCCCTGGCTGTGAGTGAAGACAGCCGCTTCCTCCTGACTTCTGGACACAATGCTGTGAAAGTTTGGGATTATAACATGACACATCGTGTTAACTCACAGGTAGCTACAGGTGAAATATTTTAGGATGTTTGAATGCTCCTAATAATATTGCAAAAAAAAAGATTATTCCATTTGGTTAATTGAAATAAAATAAAATATTTTAATTTGTACATAATGCGAGCTCTAACTGCTATATTAATGTGAGCATAATTATTGAGAAAGCCTGCAGAGTGATAAAGCTGAACGTTGTCTTTATATCTCTTGGCAACAGATGTTCATCGGCCACAGTCAGCCTATTCGCCAGGTCAGCTTCACCCCCGACCAGCTGGGGGTTGTCTCAGTGGGAGATGCCATTTTTTTTTGGGACTTCTTGGCAGATCCTGATGAAGGTTTAACTGACAGTGGGTAAGAAGTTCCTCCATTAGTTTATCTGTTACAGTCACTTTTATTGTTAAATAACTGAATCCTTCTGTTCATTCAGCTCCCTCTTTAAAGCAAGACAAAGCTCATCTATGGCAGCAGGTAAGGTTTTAACATTGAGCTTAGTTTAATAAGCCATCATTAAGTACACTAGTTGTGCTAAAATCCACTGTTGGGTGGATTTCTTACAGAAGCGCGGCTGTCCAATGGGATGCCTCGGCAGACGGCTCCCCTCCCTTCCTCCCAGCAACAGCTGGATGTCAGTTCTATGGACCACGTTATGCAGAGAGGTTTGTTTGCTCTGTTTTAAATAATATTAGTGGTGGGTGGAACACTAAATCAGGTAATGGATGAGAAAATGAGGCAATGATTACAGAAATCTGCTCATTATCTTTTTTTCTGTTTAATTTCCTAAAGTGCAAAAGTGTTTTGAGGCATAATGTTTGTTCTCCATGTTTGCGTATGAATAGAATATGAAGAAATCAAAGAAAACTAAATGATATTTAAAAAAAAAAAGTCCTCTTACAGTTAAAGGCAATAATAATTCAAATAGGAAATCAAGAAAATCTCCAGTTATCACCAGACAGGAGTCAGGGAGCATCATGGACAGGTTGTCAGGGTAACACAGACATACACTTTGACGTAAGAGCAGCTTAGAGAGACCAATTAGCAGTCATGTGTTAGCACACTAGCCCTGTGTTTCTATAGGATATCCTTCTGTTTGCAAAGATGGATCCAACTTCGAAGTTGACAGTGTTTTCATGTGGAGTGGGTTTGCTGAAGTGCAAAAATGAATGTAGTTTTTCATATATAGACATTATTCACCTCATAGCAAATTCACCTGGTGTATGGGATCTTTTGTGATGCTTCTCACCCTTTTCTGGATTTGTGCAGCATAAATAAAGTCTGGATTCGGTAGACAACATCCTCTGTACTGTCTTCACCACACTTGTCTTGCTTGACCCTCTGAACAACTGAAGTTGTTGACATGCATACACAAACAAAAATGCAATAGATCTACCGGTAAACAATAATTTAACACACCGAAATTGGCTGGTTGTTCTGGTAGCGGTCCACTGTTTGAACCGCGCTGTCCTCAGGGCTTTGAGGAGCCCTATATGCTCCCCACATACTACTGACAGCTCTAGCCCTTTCAGAGTCCTCTTCAGTTTCCAGCTCTGTGTTGCATGTCTGTAGCTGCTGAATTCTTTCACAGCTGCAGGACTGTCCTCTGATTCAGGCATATGTTAAACATGTATCCAATGATCCCATATAGTTGTCCCTCAGGAGCCTGGACGTTTGCATCTCACTGCGGCCCTTTTTACAACTCCATTTTTTTACCATCTTTGATAGACTCTAGTTATATTATTTGTGTGGCTGTGCGTAGATGGTTTGCATCTCTCTGTTGCATGTATAAGAAGTACTCTAAAAGAGGAACTCTGTCATATTGAATTTATAAATACTTTAAAATGATAAATCAAGAGCCTTGAGGTAAAACCGAAGCATCTGTTCCTAGGTTTTGGTTCCCTGCCTGTTTGTGAAGATGACCCAGCAAAGCCTGTTCAAAGCACTGCTCCAAACCCAAGCTCTGATTCCAGACCTGCCGTCTCCTTTCTCAAAGTCACTGACTTGGACTCAGACAGCTTTTCTCCCCTGAATGCAGGTCAGACAGACAAAAGTAAGATACATTTTCATAATATCCAGGAAACAGACCTTCTGTGTGTGTTTTTTTATCTTAATTTTAAAGCTTTTATTTGTAAAGGCCGGTTTTCAACAGACTCTACTCAGAATCAGCTGGAACGCCCAGATTGCTACAAGCACTTTATTCCTCGTTTGAGAACCTTTTCTCCAGATCAGGTGAAGTTATTTATTGATAGCTGAACCAAAGTCACTGTTTGTGTTCCTGTCACTTTTTAACTGTATATTTTGTTTATTCAGTCTATTGCAGTTCCTCAACCTCAAGATGAAGGAATAAAACTAAAAGCAGTGATTGGATACAATGGCAATGGTAGAGGCAACATGGTCTGGAGCCCTGATCAAGGTAAGGACAGTACATGTAGTTTTCACTGCAATGTTAACTTATCCTAATTAGCTCTATCCTCGAATCTATGATAAGCTGAACTGTGGCCACTAATTTAGAAATGTTTTATTTTCTTATTCTGCTTTAACCAACTATATTTAATGTTACAGGTTTATTTGCATATTCTTGTGGCTGTGTGGTGGTGGTGGAATATCTTCATTCAGGGACGCAGAAACACCTGCAGGGCCACAGCAAAGAGATTTCCTGTCTAGCAATCTCTAACGATGCCCAGGTACCTCACTGCAAAAAATCTAAATTTAGATAAGTGATTTTTTTTTTTCTTAAAATAAGTGCATTTGTTCTTGAATTGAGAAAGTAAAAGAGACATTTTGCCAATGGAAGAAGACAATTTACACTTAAAATAAGAAAACACAATCGCATTGTCTTATTTCAAGTGCATATTATCTAATTATCTTATTTTAAGAGTAAAAATACTCATTCCATTAGCAAACTATCTGATTTACTTACTCAAATTAAGGGTAAATACACTTAATTTAAGACATTTTTACTTATTTCTAGATCGTTTTTTGCAGTGCTCTCTGTGCTATCTACTGTTTTATAACAGTGAGTTTAACCAAACATAGTAAATTGTTCTTTTAAAACAAATGTATCTAACAGTCATTGGTAGGGATGCACAGTGTTAGGAGAACAATTATAAAGGAAAAACTTTGTGAATGTGGAGACACTGTTTATAACATGTTCATTAATAATGTCTCTCTTCTTTAATAAATATGCTTAAGATCAGTCAGTCAGTAAATCCAAAATGTATTTATAAAGCGCCTCAAAAACTATAAGGCAGCTAAATTGCTGCATAGCTGAATAAAAATACAAAATTGAATTATAATGAAGAACAGAAGCAATAAAAACAAAATAAAAGCATTTAAAAAATGATGGAAAATGAATGAAAGTTTAATGTAAGGCTCTCTTATTGATAGTGTCATCTGGAGATATAAGCTTATGTTAAAATACAGGTTTAAAAAGTCATACAAGGTCTTTACATTAAGTCTGGAAGAATTCACAGAAAGGATGAGTATTTCAGAGTTTAGGTGCTGCTAAAGAAGGTTCTGGCTCTTCTAGCTAGAAACACCTACAGCATTCTGCAGTCTTAGAGCTCTATTAATACTTTGCTCAGATACTGGAAAGAATAAACGTTAGTCTCGATCTCAGAAACATGCTTTTAACAATGGTGGATCCGGCTGCATCTGGTATTTTAGAAATACGTTAATGCCCTGATAAAATATTTTTCCCTTGCATTAAACAACAATATTCATTAAAAAAAAAAATTAATTGGTCCCAAAGGAAAATTAAATGTAAGCATAGTTATGTAAATGGTTAATAGTTAAGGGGAGTAAGCAATTAAATGTAAGCATAGTTATGTAAATGGTTAATAGTTAAGGGGAGTGGCGGCCTAGTGGTTACAACAGTTTGGAATCTTGAGGTTCTGAGTTTGAGCCCCGCTCGCACAGACTGCCACTCTTGGTCTCTGAGGAAAGACCCTTAACTCCAAACTCTTCCCCGGGTGCCAAATGAATCCAGCCCACTGCTCCCCTAGGTAATGGGTTAAATGCAGAGGTAAATTTCTCCAATGTGAGATCAATAAAGTTCAATTATTATTTTTTATTATAATATTAATTACTTGACTTGCCTTATTGCTATTGTTTACAGCAGTGCTGCGATATAAATAAATGTTCTGCTGCCCTAGCATCAAGTTGCATGAGAATAAGATTATTTGCTCAACAGGACACAAACAAAAAAAATACTTAACCTGGTGATGGATTTAATAAAAAGACAAAACTAATAGATAAAAACAGATTAATATTGAGAACAGCTCCAAAATGTGCAAATATAGCTACAAATATTTTTTTGATTGAGCATAATCATTTAAGTTTATGCCCAGCTCCTCTCTTATCCAGACCATGGCGTCAGCTGCTGGCGGTAATGGCAGCACAAGCTCAGTCTTCATCTGGGATGTTCAGAGCGGAACTTGCCGTAAAACTCTCTCCTACCATAAGGGAGCAGTGCAGAGTCTTGCCTTTTCCAGGGATGACCTTCTCTTCCTCTCTGTAGGTTTGTAAAAATCTGAGTTTTGTGTCTAGTTACAAAGTTAAAACGTTTTCCTGACTAATATTTTTAATAACCCAATAAAATGCAGTAAATATGTCATTGAAGTCCTCCAAATGTTTTCCCCCGTAGGAGACTTCTCAGATCCAGGGTTGGCCCTGTGGAGCACTGAGAACTTCAAGTTGTTATCTAGTGTAAAAATGTCTGGACCAATCCATGATGCTGCTTTCAGCCCTTCAACAGCCGGTCAGATGGCATGTGTAGGGAGCCGTGGGGTCTACTTCTGCTCCATCCAAACACACCTATCAAACACAGACTTGAAGGTAAATATGTAACTATTTCTTTCATTTTTATGTAAGCATATCTGCTTTACACATTCTTACTTTCTTTGATTCCGTAGGTCCATAGGGTGTCTCCACCATCAGAGGTGGGTGAGGTGGAGCTGACAGCTCTGAGCTACCATATGGACAGCTATCTGTTAACAAGCACAAATCGAGGACATGTTTGTGCATGGGACATTACCAAACTGTGCTGCTTTATGATCTGGAAAGCAGATGATGGAGAAATTGGTAAAAATAAATAAATATGTATTTCTGAATGTGATAACAGGGTTATTTATTTTCACGCAAGCCTGAAGTGTGTGCCCTAACTGGACTCTTCTTTTACAGGAGTGCTGCTCTGTCGAGGGAATCGCTTGCTCACAGGCAGTAACACACACTGGCTGCGGGTATGGGACATTAAAGCTGCACAGGGCATGAGGTCTACAGAAAACATATGCAGGATAAAAAGGTATAAACCAGTTTTCCTCTGATCGGTTTGGCTTAATGCTAAAAAGATGTAACTATGTATAAAGGCTCAGCTTATTGTTAGATGATTCTCAGTCCTTCTGGTCACATTTAATCGTTTACCCATATTACCTGCATGAGATTATTAAGATGGTTTATTATGCTGTTAGTGGAAGCTTTAAAAAAAACCAAACTGATTCCTTACATTAGATTTATTTCTCAACGTTGTGCACATGTGAAACTCAGCGGGACGAAGGTTGTCATGGAGCAGGAGCTAATGCTGGACGGGACGATGGTCAGCGCAGCCTTCGATAGCTCAGTAGACATGGGCATTGTTGGCACCACAGCAGGAACCCTTTGGTACATCAACTGGTCAGACAACAGCAGCATCCGTCTGGTCAGCGGGCACAGGTCAAAGGTAACCACCATGTTTTATATCACCTACATTCATTCCGATGCTTATATGAAGAAAGAATAATCCACACAGGCTTAATGGGAAACGCTGTTTTTTTTTTTACATTGGGCCCTTGATTTTACAAAACAGCGTTTCCCTTTAATGTTGCAGTAGATTTTAAGAATTAATATTGCAGCCAAAAATTCTGTCTTTTATGTCAGGATCCTCTTTGTTAGCGAATTATGTTTATTCTTACTGATGTAAAAAAAAAAATCCAGAGCAGACATTTTCCTTTAAATGTCACTTAGTTAATACAGAGAGACCACTCATGTAGTTAGTTGAATCTCTTAACTGCATTCCTTGATTTTTCACTGCTGCGGTTCTTTGGAGAACATTTTTAAGATTGTGTTGTGATATATCAATCCTAATGAAACTGAAAGTTTGTGTTCACAATGAGTAAAAAAAAAAAAAAGAAAGGCATGAGTGAGCACATTTACACGGTGTCGAAGGACTCATTGCTTTGTCTCATAGAGAACCTTTATGTTGTTTGAACGACATAACGGGGGGGTTAAGTATTTATTCTGTCTGGACTAAATGTATGATCATGGTACTTCTAACCTTTTGTTATCAGCCTTTAAAATTCCACAATTGCATAATTTTATGTTTGTCTGCCTGAGTATTTCATTTTAAACTTGTTTAAACATCTAATCCACATCTGGCAGGCCAGTTTGAGCAGACTTTTTACCAAACAATGTCTTATTTTTTAGTAAAACAATTTCTATTTTAAATAAATCCATGTTCGAGTAGAGCTGCTCTTAGTTCATTTTTAGCTCCTGTTCTTCTGGTCATCACCACCCTTCCTACATAAAACCTCTCTGTTGTATTATATTGATGTCGACATGGCTTCTTATGGTGGGAATCCTTTTAAAGAAATATGTTCTCTATTATGCCAGTACCTAATCCCTATATTTAGGGATTAAATAATCCCATATATTCACAGCACCAATGCTGCTGTTTTTATATGTATATACTTAGATTCTAATTTATTCTGCAAATTCAAACAGCTTCAGCAGGTTATTTCTGGTCCGATGAAGTTTCTCAGTCATGCAATTCATAGGCATTCCAAAAAAGTTAAAAAACAATCCACTGAACTTTGTTTCCATGTTTGAAGACGTTTGAAGAGCGACATCTTTGGGACAAGACTCAGCGGTACATTAACATCTTATGGACAAAAGACATTCTTTTGAGGAACAGAATGTTCAGATTTTGGACAAAGATGATGGTTGGTTTGAGAGGGGCGTGAAGGAAGCCATCTATGTTAAGAAAGGAAAAACCAACCTTAAACAACCTATAATGCAGCAATTGAGTTGATTCCCTCCCGCTGTCATCGCAACCCCCACCTCTGTACAGGGGAACAGAACACCTCGCCTGTTTAACCAGGCCAACAATGCCCTTTAACTATGGGGTATTACAGGCTAACAAAGAAACCAAGCAACCCCCATTCCAAAGGGGCAGACTAGTTCGTCTGTTTCAATTTGCATGTTTTCTAAGTCAAAACAGGGCTTACTTATTTGTCTACTCTATAAAGCCTTGAACAAAACGCTATTTCTGACATTTTGAATTCAAAAAGCTTCTTGGATGGGAAGAGAAACGTCTTCAAACTTGGAAACAAAGTCCAGTACATTGTTTATTTCCACTTTTTTGGAAGTCCTTACTGGTCGGTTAGGATTTATTCAGACATCTTTATCCTCCTCTGCTGTTTATCACCTGACAGCCTGCTCTGCCTCTGCTCATTTTTCAGCTTTTGATGCTGATGTTTCTGCTCAAGTTGTTGTTGCCCTAATTATATCTGTATTTTTACATTTTGCTGCATCTTTTCCCACACATATTTTTTAACTAATGTATGATGTGACTCTCACTCTGGTCTGCTAGAGAGTCTGCTAGCCTAACAGAGAGGGTTGGGCTGGAAACTAGTGGCTGACCTGAGGAGGACAGAGAGAGATTTCAGAAAAATAAACCAGTGGGTTGCATATAGGATTTCATAAACCCTATTATTAAGTTTAAGTCTGAAGATAATTTGATTGATTTTTATGAGTTAATACAGGCCCCCACTACCATCTTGTCCCAGTGACCTTCTAATATTATGCCGTCCAGATCACGTGATCCTTAGTCCCACAGGATTACCACTGGAATCACGTGACCCATGGGAACCCTGAAAAAATGTCATCCTCCACTCTGAATAACTAACAATTTGTATATGTACAATTTGTTACATGCCTTCTCTTTCTATCGATTGACTTCTCTATTATTGTTTACTTTTCCTGTCAAACATTCACAATGAAGCTGGTTTGGATATATAAGTATTTATGACCATTCTGCCATTCTAGGATTATTTGATCGTTATAGTCTTTGTGAAGCAATATGTATGTTTCTTTTATCTTTTAATTCTAATTTGGCCTTACGATAAAATTTAAATGCTGCTTTGAATCAAGTATTTTGTTGTTGGTGTTTTCAAAGTGTGAAATTAGCCTATTTTTCCACACCCAGCTGTTCTTAATAAATAGCTTTCCTGTCCTGCCACTCAGCTGCATTAATGGTCCCTTTTATTTGCCTCCAAACAGCAGGAAACTTTAAAAAGTTGGGTTTTATGCTGCTACCACCATGAACACAATAATTCTGGAGTAAATACTTGTTCTGCGGAAGGTGCCCCTGTATAAGCTGTCTTCTGCCATGCAGGTCAATGATGTGGTTTTCAGCTGTGATGAGAGCCACTTTGCCACCTGCAGCGAGGACGGCAGTGTGAGGGTGTGGTCAACCTCCAGCTATGAACTGGTGGTGCAGTTCCAGGTGATCGACCAGGTGAGAGAACACCAGTTACTCTTTCCACCAGTTTATTTACTGGGACCAGACCCAAACCCTTAATGAATGCTGGGTGAAAATAACAAGTGGTTTTGTTCACCTGTAGGACACCCTTTAGAAGAATCAAAAGTCTTTAAAAAAAATTAGCTAACCTCTTTCCTTTAAATTGCCTTGTTTGTTCAGGCCTGTGGCTGTCTGTGCTGGAGTCCTTCTTCTGGTGAAGATGGCGCACATATAGCTGCAGGATACGGCGACGGGACCCTTAGGATTTTCCGGCTCGCTTCGAAAGAGATGGAAATGAAGCTTCATCCTCATTATGTGGCCGTTTCGGCCATCACTTATTCTGCCAGTGGTGAGAAAACAGCTGTTTCATGTACAGCAAGGGTGGGCAATTCAACTGCAACTTTTAGATCCATCCTTGGTCCAACAAACCTGAATCAAATGACTGAGTTGCCTCCTCAGTATGCAGTCTCTTTCCAGGACCAGTTTTTAGGAACAAAATAAAAAGACCAAAAAGAAAAAAAAAACTGATAAGTTACATTTATTTGGTTTAAAGAAACAATTTTATATTGAAGTGCTAAGAATTTCATTGAAATAATTTTGTTTTGAAAGATTTTTTCAAATAAACAATAAAAAGTTTTTTTTTTTAAAACAACGGTAATAACATGTAATTGAAATCTTGCAACACTTGAATGCAATCTGAACTTTGCTCATGGAATGTCTCAAAAACCTGCATGAGGCTTTTACTCACAGGTACCTCTGCCTCGCGCTGTCAGCGCAACTCTTTCAGCAGCTTTTAGCGACTCCAACACAGCCGTCTTTACCTTAGTGTACAGTGCCGGCACTGCGACTTCTGTCATGTGTTTACAAGTTGGTATTGTGTAGCGTGGTTCGGGTGTCTTTAACATGTTCTTGTAACCCTTGTTTTCAACAACACTGTACGGTTGTAGATCCTTGCGAATGAACAGACTTGGTGATTTTAGAGATAAGTCATTTATCCATTTGTGTCTATTTGGAGTCGACAGGCTGTGCTTCGGTTTTTTGTAGCGCCTCTGCATGATATCTGATTAAGTGGGAATGGCTGAGAACGGTAACCAAACCGACAGCGCCCCCATCGGTCAGGAGGTGAATTGATTCTGATGGGCTCTCGCATCGAATATGAATTTTTTGTGTAATAAATGCGATCAGGGGCGGATCCAGGATTTTTCAAAGGGGGGTGCACACCTAAGGGTCATGGGGTCACGGGGTCAAGGGTCACGGGGTCACAGGGCAAGACAATGTGAGGCTAAAAGACCAAAGAATACCATCTTCACTCTTTCACACTACCATAATTATTCATCCAAGGGTTTTTAATTGATTCTGGCTGGAAACGCGCGGTGACGTAAAAAACGCGCGCTCGCGTAAAATACGGGTTGGAACTGCGCGTTATTGTACGGATGATTATTGGCCCAATTGGCTTGCCATAAACCAAAGGGGGGTGCGCGCGCCCCCGTTTGAATCCGCGCCTGGCGATGCATCGATTCTTCAATTATTTTACCCACCCCTACTCTCACTCCATTGCACTTAAATGCCGTATTTCTTTGCTGCCTGACAGTTGCTTGATGCCTCCGCTGTGTTAACCACCATTATTTTAACCAATTTGGGTATAATTGGTTAGACCCTGATTATAAGACGACCCCACATTTTCACATTGTTTTTAACGGAAAAAACAAATTGTCTTACATTCGGGCCAATACGGTACTTTATTCAGGTTTGTTGGACCAAAGGCACATCTAAAAGTTGCAGGATACAGGCCCTCAGGAATTGAAACTGCCCACCCCTCATGTAAAGGGTTCCATTTTGCCAAGATAATCATGTTGGGATTTTTATTTTTTTTTTTTAAGAAATCAAAATAAAGTGAAACTGAAATAGAAGGCAAATGATGGGTGAATACTGTGTAGAACCACTTTTCTCTGCAACTGGATAAAAGCATCCCCACAGCATGATGCTGCCATGACTGTGTTTCACCAGCTGTGTTTAGAAAGATGTTCAATGTATTTTTCTCTACATGTAGGGCCTTTAAATACGGACCAAAAAGTTACATTTGCTCTTATGGCTTAATAAATTTCCTCCAGGGATGTAAGAAAAAATAGATTTAGTCAAATTTTACAATGTTCATGTAGAGAAAATTATAATTGATTCAAAATATGACCAAATAGCTTTTAATTGTTAAAAAATATATATATTTACATGCAAACATCCATTTAATTGTTTTAATCTTTTATAGCTCTTAAACACACAGCCCCTTGTTGAAGAACCTATTATTCTCTACTGTTCTGTCTCTTCCTCAGGTCATGTGATCCTTTCAGCGGGGGACGGCCTAGTAGCTGTGAGCAGCCCAACAAGTGGAGCAACAATTCGTGTCATCAGGGACCATAAAGGAGCAACAATAACCTCAATCCAATGTGTCAACGAACAGGTCAGCTCACTGTAATAACCTCAAATAGGTTCTAGTTTGGAGGGATCAAGGGGTTATTGGGATTCCTGTTGAGTCATCTCTGCAGTAATGATCACAGAATAATGGAGATTAAAAATTATATCCGCTTTGTGTACAACAAGGTTAAAAGTGACACCAGCAGTGGGGAAAAATACCTATTTTATGCATCTTTTTATGAAAAAATGATTTTTTTTTACAAGTGTTTACAGTTTACTTCAGCGTTAACATGATCTATGTATTTAATTGTTTCTGTGTCACATGATACTACTGGATCTACAGAAACCAAAGTTGTGGATTGTATGTGCTGCATCTAGTTTGTTTAACTCTCCTTTCTCAGTGCAAGAAGTTTGGAGTGGAAGGGAATGAGCTGTTTTTAGCTGCTGGTGCAGACAGACGGGTCAGTGTTTGGGCCACCGACTGGTCGAAGGAGAAGTGTGATCTGCTGGACTGGCTGACATTTCCTGCTCCGGCCAACTTTGAGGTACTCCTTCTATTTTGAAATATTTTAGTTTGTCCATGTTTTTAACATCAGATGAACTTGAAGCCATCTTTAAGCCAAAAATCCCTCACCCTTGAAAATAGTTCGATTCATTCAGCAGGTGGCAGCCATTAGCATCTCACATCAAAGTTAATGTCCCTTACACTGAAATCTCACACCTTCCATTACCGCCCTGCTCCATTCCAGACCGCATGCGCAAAGCAAAGCCTACGGCCTCCACAGTTCCTCCCATCTTGCTCAGAGCTCGGGGAGAGCATGTACGATATAATTATTCAATTCAAAGGAGGAAAAACATTCGTTAATGAACGCTTAATCTAATATGACATAATTAAAACTCAACATCAGCATCAGTCACGTTTCTGCCCAAACATTTTCTTTCGTTGTCAGTCTTTGTAATAGGGTTAATTAGGATCATACAACATTGGTTTGTTCTATACTTCCAAACTCAGTATCTCTTCATCCATCCAAGAAGATGTGACTGGATTTAATTTAACTTTTAAGCCTCTCTGTATAAAATCAATATTTTGATCAAGATGAATAATTTGCTTCCTGATATGTTGAAGTACCAATAGTTTGCATCCAATAATTCAAATAAACAGTCTTAGTTTTGGGGAATATATAAGATTTATGCTTGAATTTGTAGTTACTGAGCTGCTGTTACCCTATTTTGATTTGACAAAATTTCTTTTTTTACCGTTTGGTGCGATTTGCCATTTCGTCTTCTAACGGACCAGAGCGAAGCAAAAAAATAGTTTTTCTCCGTATTTTGACTGACAGATGAAAAGACGTACGGTGACGTTCAGAGGAGTAGCGGAGTATGTGGAACAGTTCTTATTAATTAACATGACTCTGCAAAATGCTCCGCACAAACATATGTGAGCGGTTCGGTGGGAAATCTGGGGATTAGAGTTTGAGATTTCAACCACAATATTCCTTCTGTTTATATAGGAGTTTATATAAAATGCAATTTTAGTCCTGTATTATTTTGAGGCAGCAGTAAACGACTGCATCACTCTTCTATTAATAAAAAAGTGGTGTCAGCTTTCTATCCTTGCAAATAACTTGTCAGATCAATCTGCCAACATCAGGATTGTTCCTGGTACTCTGATTTAATCTTTTAGTTTACTTGAAATTATCTGGAGAAATTTATATATTTTTTAAAAACCCAATGACTAATATCAAGTATGTGTTCTACAGTACATACATTCAAATACATGCAAACATAATGCAAACATTAGGCAAAGGGGAAAACCAGGATAGACAAGCAGTAGGTCCCATGAAAGCCAGTAGTGTGAACTATTGTAGGGGACGTAGTTTAAGATTCATTATTTTTATTCTGGCGTGTTTCTAATAAAAATAATCTCAGTCTTTTTTTTTATTTTTATTCTCTCATTGTTACAGGATGACAGTTTTCCACCCAGTCTGGCTGCTTTCTACCCAGCAGATCATAGCCTGCTGGTCTACACTGGCTATGCAGTAGAGAAGGAACTCTCCTTTTACAGCCTGACTAAAAAACAGGTAACGCTGTAGAACTCCTTATCTATTGTTTTCTTCTGTCCAGATTGGTGAGAATGCTAAATGGTTTCCTTCTGCTTCACCTCAGATCATTAAAAAGATTTCCCTGACTCACTGGGCCACGTGCCTTAGCCTGTCTTCTAAGAATCATCTCTTAGTCGTTGGATCTAAAGGTGAGGGCTGAGAGTAACTCAGAGAAAAGTGTGAGAGATGTATAACAAATTCTCACTTTGTGTCTAAACTCCCATCAGAGCGAGTGCTGAAGCTGATCAAGTCAACCAGTGGAAGGTTTCAGGACTTCCTGCAGCACAGCGACTCGGTGCAGACGTGTCATTTCTCTCCCTCTGGGATGCTTCTGTTCTCTGCAGCTTATAATGAGGTTCTGCTCTGGGAGGTGCCAGGATTCTGACCACCTCCTCTGGGGTTTTAACATGTAGCACTGCAGGTTTATTTATTTATTGTGCCGGTTTTATAAGTTTTACTGTATTGTTAAATAGATTTCTATAAATCTAATCAGAATTTTGTATTTAGGGTTTTAAGAATAAAATGTTTTTTTATTCGAGAAGTTTTGCTGTCTGGCTTTTATGGTTTCCGTTTCTGAGTTTCTGGTTTTTGATGCATATTTTATCCTTCAGGACTCAGATTGGTTTCCTGCTGCTGATTGCAATGCCGGGTGCAATCGAGGCTTTTAGCTCCACTGTGATGGAAATAAAGAGCACTATGTGCCATATGGCACAATAGATGACATTAAAGCAAATTTTCAGGAAAAAAAGCTGAACACTTAGAGGTAGCTGTGTTTGTACTTTAAAAAGCACAGCTTAGATGTTCTGTTCAGATTCTTGTGCTGAATGTTTCAGAAGAAGTTCAAACATCCGGAAACAACATGGTCCACAGTTGGACTGCAATTTGCCTGTTATTGTGAGCTTACCTTGAACTGAAATGCAAAGTTCTAACTGCAGCACTTAATTCAATTTTCACCAACACTGCCTCGTTTAAACTGGACCAACAAACAATTATCTATTGTTTTCCAACTGTTTTAGTAAATCAAACCTGAGTAGTTTAGGTTGCAGTCCAGTTGTTTTCACTTTGATGCCCCTGAACAAAATGCTTGACTAGTCTGGGCTCTATGGAAGAGAGAAAATAATAAAAACAAATATTTTAATGGAAGCTGCATGAAGTAGATTTTACACTGTAGGTGACAGCAACCATTCAGAGAATATTGGTATAGTCAGATGGTCAGTGGAATGCTATGTGTGATGGAAATGATAACCTTAAAGCTAAAATTGACACAGCATACATAAGGAGAACACGGTAGTGGCACCATCATGTTAAGGGATGCCAAACATATTGCCAGAGCTACGATGCTGTATATCAAAATGGCCTAGTGAAAGTCAACACCCACTGTATGCCCAGTTAAGAATCATACAAGATTTTAAAGATTCCTCAGATGCTCTCTGTCCAATTTGACGGAGCTGTGAAAAAAACGTTTGTTTTTTTTTCATTTAATGAATGCATTTCCATTCACTTCACAATTAATGCAAAGCATGAGAAAATACTCTGTGGTGGGAAAAAAAAGCCAGGCTGTGTATATTATAGTGACAGAAGAAAAACCTGATTATCATCTGGGATAAGATCAGAAAAGGAAGTACAATTTTTACCCGAGAATTATCTTCCTTCATAAAGTTTTCACCAATGTGATTTTTTTTGTTGTTTTGATATATAACCCCTCCCCTCTCTACTAAATTAAGCCATTTACCGGATTAAATCATTAAAGTTTCTTAAATGATCACCAATGATCCATGGATTTACTGTCATGTATCGCCAACTGCAAATGGTAGATTATTCTAAAAATGACCAGATCTGTTATCATGTCTGCTGGTTAGTTAATGCATATAAGTTTTAAAGTGTTATTTAAGGAGTTTGTTCTGAGTGATCTCTTTTCAGGGAAAATAACCGGAGAGTGCCCATCTTTAACAACGCATTCAGTACATTCCACAGAATTCTCTTCAACTTTTATGACTAATTAAAACTTAGACAACCTTTCTAGTCATTTTGTGTACACAGTGTAATAAAAAACAACAAAGAAATTTCGTTTTTTACAGCTTTCATGACATTTCCATTTCTTAAAGTGCAGCTGTGATCAAATGTAAACTCTGAAAACATTTTTTAATACAGTATAAATTTAATTCTAAATTAAATTCTAAATGAATATCTACTTAAGAATATGTGTGGCAATCATCATAGTTTATATAACTTGTGTGTGTAAAATTGTTACTTTTTTTTTTCTTGTTTTTTATTTATATAACAAACCAATAGTGTACAAAGTCTTGTTGAGGTACAGACAGTACAACGTAGAGGGAAAAAAATAGAAACATGGGACTAAAAACAACAACAGATACATAAACAATAGGCAAAAGGCACAGCATGTTGAATCAAATTTAAATCTTTTATGCAAAAATTCTGCCACTGGATAAATATTGTGCAAGATTTTAAAGTGAGTCTCTTTAACTTTAGGTGAAACCGGCCATTTAACAAATTTAGAAAAAGCCTTCTCAATTCAGGGCAAATTAGTTGTTGTCAAAAAACTATTATAATAATCATTAAATAATTTGGATTTGAAGGCAGTCACAAGGATACCATTATTACATATTTTATCAGTCACCAAATATTCTCCAATTTTCAATTTGGGTAAAGATGGAGTAACATTTGAATATCTTAAGGTGTTTTGGATGAGATGGATCAGAGCTTCAGGAATAGCTTTGCATACTTTTAAGTATTCATTAAAAGTACAACACAGAATAAAAGTATAAGTAAACTCGCTATGATTTAGGAACACAAATTGTTTCTTTGTTGTGCTTTACAATTTTTGACATGCAGTTACAGCCTCCTCATGTCTATTGAACGGTTTGTCCAGCAGGGGTCGTAGTTCTGCGCTCTCCGTGAACCGGAACAGCTTGACTTTCACCTTGGTTGTACATCTGTGTGGAGAGCCGCACGTTTGGGTTTAGCTTGACATTTTTGACGTTCAAATGAAAGATAAATGTCTGAGTAGCAGCAAAGCCCGGCTAGCTGTAATTCTGAGTGTGAAAAACCATGAAGCAAGATGTCAGGATACTTTTGTTGGGGGAACGTAAGTATGTTAGCCTGATAAGAAGCTAAACGGTTAGCAAACATTAGCTGGAGCAGCTAACCAACTTGTAACTGAACTTTGGTTGCTTTGAAAGCTGCCTTACAGAATATTTCCAAAGCGGGTTTAACTTTTCTAGTAAAAATGTATTTTTCTTTAGGGAAGGTAATATTTTTTCAAAGTGTTTTCAGCTTCAAAGTTTAGCTCCAAGCTAATGGTGTGCATAACTTCAATGCATTTGTATTATTACTAGTGAAAACCAGAGAGATGAACCATATCAGCAGAATGTACTTCATCCAAAGATGATTGAAAAGATTTTAAATAATGCAAACATTTGTTTAAGTTTGTCAGTAAACATTAACTGTAAATCTAACCTGGTCTGTGCAAATGATCTAATGAATAAAACTATTTATTTACTACTTTTATTGTTACTTGGTAGCTATTTGACCTCTTAACCTGAGATATAACTTTATTTATATTTATTTAATAAATTGGGTAATCTGACTGACAAACCCAACAAATTATTACTAATTCTGGTATTAAAAAGGCCTAAATACAATTGTGTAACGATGACTATTATATCAAAACACATATAAGCAGAAGACTCAGACACACTTGTAAAACTTCCTTTGCATTAAAACGTTTAAGCCAATATTTTTATAGTGTCTAGTGTATACTAACTACAACAGTGCCTCCTGTGACAGTGCATAGTGTTTACTGTATATTCGCCTGACCTGTAAATGTTAAAATGGCACATAAAAAATAACAGCTTGTGCTCAAACAGGACTCTCACTTTAACATCTGTGGGAGGGTTTCCGTCTTTAATTGTATCTTCAGTGTCTCCAGGTGGGTTAAGTAGCATTACTTCAAAATAATATTATTAAAATACAATTCAAATGTTTGTTGCAGTAAAACTAGTTTTAGAATAAAAGTAAATGCCTAGTTACTATCCACATGTATAAGTGGCATTTCTATAGCATAAATCACCTCTATCTTTTTTTTTTTCCAGTTCTGATATTTGAATAAATTTTTTTTATCTCCAACATAAAGTTGTGCGCAATAGGATCCTGTAGCGAGCGACCAAATTCTGGTTTAGATACAAGAGCTCAAAGGAAAACTGTCCACATTGACTGGAAATAATAAATTACTATGATAAATAAAAAATAAAAGTTCCCTGAAAGGTTTTGTGGAGGATTTTCAGGAATTTTTGAAAAGACCTGCCCTCTGCACTTTTAAGAAGAATGCACGCACAACCCTGTACCTGCTCCCGACAGGGAACGCCTATCAAACGCATGCAAGAGCATGCATGAGCCTATTTCTCATCGTGCATGCTCTGTTTAAAAGTTGCTGTTTGCATCGCTCATACAAGCTTACCTTCCAAAAGAAAATTTGCTATTTTTCCACTGTCAGACTTGCCATCAGTAAGGGAAAATGGGGACGAACACATAAGACAGCCTTACATAAACATATCACCAGAATGATTGACAATTAGGAAGACCACTTATTTTGATGATATACCTTGAATAAGAAAATTCTCCACCATACCTTTAAGTCAATTCTGTGGGGAAATTTTGTTTAGTTTAAGTTGCACAAAAATACAATCCAGGTATCTAGGGGAGTGTATTAATTGAACAAGCAGGATATTTGACTACAAAGGCAAATTCAATGTCTAAATTTGTTGGGATTGAATACTGTCACCATCTCTCTAAAACCTTTATTGTCATGAATAACAGCCCTGACAGATTCTACTCAAAAAGGAGAGCACCATGTTTATTAGAACTACAGGATCGGCTCCTCACGCTCAAATGCAGGAGCCTAGTGGCTTCCTACTTTCAAAATGTGCCATTTGAAAGCAACGCTCCACATTTCCACAACACAATGATGATTATTTAGTATATATGTGCTCTTAATGTATTTATGTGCCCCTCCTAACAGCCAAAGTGGGGAAGACGTCCCTCATTATGTCTCTGGTGGGAGAAGAGTTTCCAGAAAAGGTAGGAGTGATTTTACATCATCAGTGATGCTGTGGGTTGACTTGAACCAGCCTGGTTTGAACATCCAGCCCCCGATGGGTTTCTTTAATCTGTGATGTTACTATTGAATTTCCTTTAATATAAAAATAATAATAATTATTAATTTTTTAATAAGAATTAATATTAAAGAAAAAATAATTTCTTTTAATATGTATTTTGGTGAATAATGTTTCTGAGCCGTTGTATTTAAATGTACTCTATAAATATGTTTGACATTGACCAAAAAGCTGTCTGTCTAAGCTGCAAGAGTTTTACTTGTAATGAATTGTGTTGCTTTTTTATCAAAGTGTGATGCTTTTATTATTAGTAGCAAAAATAATCCAAACAGTAAGTGTTGTCCCAATTTATTATCAAATGTGTTTGGAGTCTGATTGCTTTGTTTTGTATATAGAGTGATTGAAAACAAACAACCTTAGTAATCTATTTTATGATAATTTATTTGTACTCTTTATATTCTAAATTATGATTTTGCTGGTTATTGACTTCATTTGCTTCTATTTAATTTCTGTTTTTACTCTGAGATTCTTTTTGTTGCTAAGATGATTATTCAGAGATTTATATGTTTGCAAGCTGTGATTGTTTGACTTTCAAATGGAATAAATAAACAGAAAAATGTGTTTAGAGCTCTGATGCCTCAAATGTTTTCAATCCCCTCATTCATTAGTGTTCTTACGATGTATTTTTTGCAGCTATCAAATGTTTTTCTTGTTGTTAACAAATGGAGTGAAGGAGTGAGAACTGGTGTGACATGTTGACCTGAAAGATGTCGTTCTGAAAGGGTTTTTGTTTTGAAGGTTCCCCCCAGAGCTGAAGAAATCACTATTCCTGCTGACGTGACTCCAGAGAAGGTCCCCACTCACATCGTGGACTACTCAGGTATTGGAGGCATAACCTCTAACATCTTTAGCTTTGGGTAACATGAAGTAAAATGAAACATCATGCTTTTAAATTCTGTTTGGTTTTCTCTCCCATCAGAAAAGGAACAGAGTGACGAAGTCCTTAGAGATGAGATCATCAAGGTAAACTCACCACAGTCCCATTATTATGATTATAACTTATTAAGAGAAGGCTGGTACAGTAATCTGACTTCTCATTTAGCCTCGTCCCAAAGCTTCCATGTTTTTTAAGTGGACCAAAGTTTTGGATAGGTATTAATCTGCTAGAAAATATGTCCCTTTTTGGAGTATATCTCCATCCCATAAAAACATTTTATCCGTCTCACATAGATAAAGAATAATCTGGGGATTAATTTTTTGTTTTATATGATTTTCATACGTGTTATTTTCAATACCAGGGCGTATGGTCCTTCCTAATTAGCATAATAAAATAAGATTTATGACAATATCACATTTAAATCTAAGTAATCAGGGAAACCTAACATGATTTATAATTTAGAGGTTTTACTTTACATTGTCAAAATAGTGGACAAGATAACCCGTAGTAGAAGTTTTAATATAATTTATAGAGGTGTGACAGGTAGATTCATTGTAATTATTTTATTCCATATTTAGCATGTGTGCTAGCAGAGTAGTTTCACTATGAGGAGAAAAATCAAGAATTTTTAAATGCTATTATTAATTTTTTTAATGCAGTAAATAAAAATCTGATTTATCCCTGTTAGAAAATGATTTGGTCCATGGAAATGTATTCATCTGAAGCTGTGCACTCCTAAAATGTAGCTTGATATGTTATATCCTCCATTTCCAGCTCCTTTTGTTTTAAGTCTGTTTAATGAAGAAGCCTGAAGAACAGGGTAAAGGTTTCTATGTACTTTGGAGGTGACCATGTCGATGAGCTGAGTGTAAAAGTACCACCATAAGTTAGATTCACTATAACTTATTGAAACAAATTAAAAGCTTATATCATATAGAGTCATTATAGTCGGAAAAACCAAGGGAATGTTTCCTGAATCTTGGATTGGCGGACATTTGCAGCATCTTAAACCTTATGTGTCGGGTTGTCTTGTTTCTAGTATGAAGTTGTTCATCTGTTTTTGTCCAACTTTCACAGGCTAATGTAGTGTGTGTGGTGTATGATGTCACCAATGAGGACACAATAGATAAGGTAAAGACTGATTATTTAGTTTTTATTAACAAATTATTCTATACAACTTGGAATATATTTTTGCCATCTCTTTTTTTTCCTTCAGATAAAAACCAAGTGGATTCCTCTGGTCAACGGAGATGCAGAGAAAGGAAACAAGTACGTACCTGTTAGTTATGTTTTGAAGGAATTTATTAAACTGCTCTTGTTTCAACTGTTTGCATGTTTACCTGTTAGTAATGGGGTGGAGCTAGGAGGGTGAATCCCCCTCATTAGCGCCTGATTGGACACCCCAAATGCCTCTGAAAGTTTCTAAAATAGGTCTGCAACTAACAATTATTTTGCAAATCGATTAATCTGTTGATTATTTTTTTCAGTTAATCAATTAATAATCAGATATCCAAAGGTTCTTTAAAGAAGAATTTTTGTAAAAATAAACCAGGTGAAACTATAACTTTTCCAATTGAGGAGTTCTGGATAGAGTATATTGACAGAAGAAAAAGATTTTTATCTTAAATGCAAAATGTTTATTTTTTTTATTTTAATATAATTACTGCTCTAAGTGGGTCGCTCTTTCAGCTAAAGGAATGTTTAAGATTCTCTATACTCCAGTTAATGATTAATGGATTACTAAATTATTTGACGATTATTTCAATAATCGATTAATCATGATTAATTGTTTCAGTTCTATACTGAAAAACCCAGCGTTGAAAGCCGTGCTATTAGAGCAGAGATTTATGGCCTTCTGTCTTCTTATAAGGTCAAGTAAACAAACTCCATATTTACACCTGAGGGGTTTTCTGGGGAATTGTGTCTGGGTCCTTTTTACGGTCGCTTTTCTTTTTTAACAATCTGCAAATGGTGATAACCGAAACGGAGGAGCAAAAATGAAACTGTATGACTAGAAACACCGTGGGAACCAATCACTACTAAATATTTGAATTATTTAACTAAATGGCCCCAAAGTTAAAGTTAAGACAATCTTTGTAGTTAAAGACATATTGGGACAACACTTCAGGTTTGGATCCTTTTTGCTACTAGTTATTTAAATGAGGCCATTTTTATCTGCTATGCCACCTGCAGTTTACTGTTAGTACTGCAGCAGTTCAGCGGCGTCTCAAACACATGGCTAGAATGAATATCACGAATTTAATGGAGCAAACATAAAGGAAATTTCTGCAAGGGGTGACATAATAGGCATGTAAAAACAGCTTGGTGAGGAAAATCAAATATAGATAGAAAGAATGCAGAGGTGCTGCTTTTAACTGCAGCTCAGAATCTAGAGCAGAATCCGGCTTTGTAGGGAAAGAAAGTCATCCAGAGGACGGGTTCTCTGGGTACCAGGATGGAGAAACACTTTCCCTGTCTTCTGCTCCACCTTGTATGAGAGTCTAGCTCTGCTACTGATAAGGAACTTGGTTTTTCTTGGTGTTCATAACATATATCTGTTCTGTCAGGGTGCCGATCATCCTCGTGGGGAATAAATCCGACCTGCGCAGTGGGAGTTCGATGGAAACCATTCTGCCCATTATGAACCAGTTCTCTGAGATTGAGACATGCGTCGAGGTGAAGCTCAATCTTCTTATTGCTCGAGGCTGCGGACTGCCATTAACTTATAATCTGCTTTAACTTTAAATATGTGATGCATGCTTTATTTTCCTCTCTCTTTGTGTCCAAGTGTTCGGCAAAGAATCTGAAAAACATTTCCGAGCTTTTTTACTACGCCCAGAAGGCCGTTCTTCACCCCACTGCTCCTCTTTACGACCCCGAAGACAAACAGGTGTGCCTTTCTTTATTTTATTTCTTTATTTTTTTTATTCTTTAAAATTTTTGGATTTTGTTAAAAAAAAAAAAAACATTTTAACATGTTTAACCATAAATACCAAGCTTTAATGACCCACTTTTCTTGCAGTTAAAACCAGCGTGTGTTCGAGCTCTGAGCAGAATATTCTACATTTCGGACCAGGATAACGACCGGATCCTCAGTGACGCTGAACTCAACTGCTTTCAGGTTTCACCTAAAATCGCACTTAGTTTCATCTCAGCCTCTGTTTAAAACACATTTTTTATGCTAACTTGGAAAGTTTTGATATTCTTTTTTTTAGAAATCTTGTTTCGGGAATCCTCTGGCACCACAAGCTTTAGAAGATGTAAAGACCGTAGTTTGGAAGAACACCAGCGACGGCGTCCAAGACAACGGCCTGACTCTAAATGGTGGGAAACAGCCATGAAAAGATAAAATGGCATAAAGACTTTCTGCATTCAGCTCATGGTAATGTTCATGTATCTTTGTTTTTTTTTTCTTCAGGTTTCCTGTTTCTTAACACCTTGTTTATCCAAAGAGGCCGGCATGAAACCACTTGGACCATCCTCAGGAAGTTTGGTTATGACGATAACCTGGAGCTGACTGATGATTATCTTTATCCCGAGTTAGTTATGATTATTTTAAGATCATGTGACACTAATGACCTTTGTGTACTGTAATTAGTCAAAAAATAAACAAAGTAATGTGGGCAAGACATGCAAAAGTCAAAAGGTGTAGAATTGATCCGATCCTCTGAATCTTTCAAAGCAGACGGATCACCACTAAATGCATGACAGTCTTTATGTTTATCTTTTTGCACAGTCTGGAAAAGTTAAGATATATTAAGTGTTTTAATTGTCTAGAGAGGTACAAAAAAGTATTTGCTGACTATATTCCTGCTTCCATCACATGAAAATCACAACTTTCTAATTGTATGTTTCATGGTAAAAACGAAATTGGTGTAAACTCACCTTTAAAATTAATTTTTGGAAAAGTGTGAATTTTCCACATTTTTAATTATTCTTTGGCTGGTTTGTTATTGATGACAAGGAGATTAAAACCCCTTAGAATTTAACATTTCAATCATACAATTGGATGCGCTGAAAGCCAATTAAACCAATCAGAGTAGATGCTCAGATGTAACCAGCTGTCTCATTGGTCATTCTGTGAACCAGTGTGGCAGTCTAACCAATGAGGGGGCTGGTTACATCTGCGGAGCAAATGTGGTAAGTTTAACTGGTTTTTAGTGAACTCGGGGACCAGAACAGTCATGGGAAATAAAAATGGTAAGGATAAAATAAAAATAAATTCATGAAAATACAAGGGAAAGAAGAAATTGGAAATGGGATGAGGAATTATTTTTTTAATGGAAATAGGATTTGAAAATACATTTACAAATTTCTGTAGTAATAACTTTGGCTTAATAAATACAATTTAAATACAATTGGAAAATGTACAAAAAAAATGTACGATCAGATTCATTTAAATGTTACATTTGGAGTAGCTATTTATTTTCATTTTCACTGTCTCTCTTGGTGCTCCTTAGTTTGTTTTCTTTGTATATTTTATTTTAAAATGTCATTATCTGTCTCCAGACTCAGAGTTTCTGTTGGCTGCAGCACAGAGATCAACCAGTTAGGCCACCAGTTTCTCCAGCGGTTGTTTGAAAAGTATGACGAAGTGAGTGTCATTTTGAGCCGCTCAGTAAAATGTTGGATTGTAAATGATTGCCTTATTTTATTAGGCTAACCTGTTTTTTGTTTTGTTTATTAATTCACAGGATAAGGACTCTGCCCTCTCACCAGCCGAGCTGAAGAACCTGTTCTGTGTTTGTCCTTACATGCCTTGGGGGGATGAAGTCTATCTGACTGTACCCACCACAGAGCAGGGCTACATCTCTAATCTAGGCTACCACTGTCAGTGGATGTAAGTATCTTTCACACAAAGTGCTGAAAATCGCAGCTCTACGCTTACATGAGAGGTTATAGTTTGCTGTGTTGGAAATTCACACGGCTGCTCTTTGCATGCAGGCTCTCTGCTTACCTGGACATCCACCGCTGCCTGGAGCACCTTGGATACCTGGGCTACCCTATCCTTACCGAACAGGATTCTCAGACTGCGGCTATCACAGGTGTGTGGACATCAATCTGCATGCAGACGTCTCAGTTTGAACCACCTATGTTAGGAAAGTCGTCAGAGATTGGAGGGAAGGAAGTCTCAGCTGTTTCTCAGTTATTTTAAAGTAAAAAGATGGTTTCATGTTTTAATCCAGTCATTTAAGACCCTAATATATTTTATTAGGGTTTTTATCCTTTAAAGTGGAATTTGGTGGCACTAGCATGTAAAATTACTATGTAATTACTTAAGAATTAACAGTTTGGCACGCAGCTGTTGATTGCGCTGATATATGTTAAAGCTGCTGTGCTGAGCTTCCCTGCTTTAGTTATTCCTGGCTTATGGAAACAAAGAGCTGCAGCTCAGTTTAGAGGGATTTTTTTAATTTGCTCACTAAAACTTTATGACTAGGACAGTGTTTTTAAAAAAAAAATCAGAATTTCTTCTAAAAAAAAAGATTCAGGGTGCACGAAGATCAGTGCAGCATCTTACTGGGGTCAATCTGATAGTTTGCATATTAGTGGGAGATATAAACATTATTTTCCAACACTAGGGAAAGATTTAAAAGAAACAGTAGTGAACTTAATTAGCAAAGAGCAAAGCAAGATATTGGTGCATCGGAAAATAGTAATAAAAACTTTGAATGTTAACATCATACCAGTATCTTCATCACCTCTTGTTCCTGTTGGAACAAAAAGGATTTACCATTACTCATTTCTGTTTTTTAGCTAGCGCTATACATCCTAGCAGACATAATTTATCCTGTATTTAAGTATATTAAAATTAAAGGGCTTACAGTATTTTTGCTATATTTATTTACATTTGAAATAAGTATTCCTCAAATAAAGCTAATCTTAGCGTTGATGGGAAGCTTGAAGTTTTTTCTCAGATTGTGCTGCCATGCTTTTAGAAATCCTTAGATAATTTTAGTTCTTGGCTCGTTTTGGTCTAAAATATTTATCTGCTTTGTTGAGATTTGCTGTTTCTTTTCCTGATGCGCAGTGACTCGAGAAAAAGAGGTGGATTTGGAAAAGCGGCAAACTCAGAGGTCGGTCTTTCTCTGCAAGGTGATCGGACCACGAGGGACCGGCAAGACCGCCTTTCTCCAGTCGTTTGTGGGTCGCAGCGTTCTGGTACGCAGCCCTTAGCTACTCAGTTCAGATAAGCAGTGAAAAATGAAGAACTGTCCATTTTACCAAGGAGTGAAAACATTAACCTGTGGTTCATTTTTTATTTTTTGCTGTTTCTCAGAGTAAAGGAAACCCCAGCAGTGCCTTCTCACCATATGTCATAAATAGAGTTCAAATCAGCAACCACGAAAAGTTTCTGATTGTAAGTATCAAACGTGCGAATCTCGATACTGGCCCTTGACCTCTGACCCCTACTGACACCTGATCAGACCTAACCTCTGCCTGTTCTGTGCAGCTTAATGAGGTCGACGTGGAAACGGAGTTCCTGAAAGCCTCAGACGCTTCCTGTGATGTGGCTTGCCTCATGTATGACACCAGTGATCCTCATTCATTCGACTATTGTGCCAGTATATACAAGGTCAGTTGCATAACCTGAAGATGATGTAACAATTACAGTTTTTATGCTCATTTGTGTCCATTCTTTAGTTGAATATAATTTTAATAATAGAATAAAGCTATACATGGTTTATATACTTCTTGCGCGCCTTTTTTTCCCCAACTTTCTTGTCTTTTTTTATAGCCTCAAGTAAATTTAAATATCAAGATATAACAATAGGTTTAAATCAGATTGTTTGATGCATTGAAACTGAGTTCTAATCTCTTAAAGTGTGTCAGCTTTCTAAATATCAACCATAACTTCCTTTTAAGATTGACTATTCTTCATTTAAATTAACCTAAAGAAGTGCATCTCTGGAAAATCTGAGGAAATCTGGAAGTTTTACCTGGAAAAGATGTTGGAATCTTGAAGTTAGGGATTACTAACTAGAAGTGCTTAGATGTTAGCTTGAATTTCAAAAAAGTTTGATTTACGTTTCTTTAAAAATTATAGCAGTGAGTGCTGCTATGGTGTGGAGGTAGAGTACAATACTCTTATGCTCGCTGTCGCAGGTTTGAGTCCCGCTGACCTTTTCTGAATGTCTCTCCCCTCTCTTGTAACCAACTCTTTTTTTTTTTCATCTCTAAATACTTTCAAAAATAATTAAAGGGCTCAAAAATCTTTTAAAAATAATAATAGTCGTGAGGATTGACATCTGTGCCACCATTTTTTAACAAACATTACTAAATCTCCTAATTATTTTGTCTTTTCTAGAGATGGCAATAAATAACTATGTTTACATGCACAAAATTTCCCTAATCCTATCCAAACCTTGGTTGATCTAAAGTTCAAAATTACAGTTAACACTGACACTAGAAGAACTGTCCACTTTTCCCAAAATGCTTTAGTATTAGAAGAAGATGTAGTTGCCTGTTTTCTAAACAAACATGTAGTTGTCGGCTCATCCTCAACTTTAGCTATTCTATTTCATTATGGACCTTTGTATCCATACTTTGGCTTTTGGTGGTCATTTTAGCTCCTTGGCTACAGGGGTAGAGGGCAGGATGGCATTTTCAACCACATATTATTAGAGCCACCCCTTCCAACAAGGGGGGCCAGGAGCCAGTAGATGAAGATTATGTCTGTTGCACACATGCGGAGATGATTTTACTCCAAAGATCCAAACTGGTGTATATGTATGGTGATTGGAATGAAATGTCTTTCCTATCGGACTGAATCAGATTACAATCTTTAGTCTGTTTACATGTACAATTTATGATCTGATCAGACCTTCAATCCAATCATTTGTGTCCATGTAAACATAGCTAGGGTTAGATCTGCTGTATCTGTGAAATGTTTTTCCTCTAAAGTTTCCCCATATCTTCAACATGCAGCAACATTACATGGAGAGCAACATCCCATGTGTGCTGGTTGCCTCCAAGGTGGACCTTCCTGAAGCCAAACAGGTTCATGGTATGACTCCTGCAGAGTTCTGCTACAAACACAGACTCCCTCCACCGCTGCCTTTCTCCAGCTTGTTACTTGATTCCACCAGTAAGAACATCTACTCCAGACTTGCCTGGGCGGCGATGTACCCGTACGTATCTGTATAGGGAAAACATAAGCAGCAAATGTGTGATGTTGACTTTTACTTACGTTTTTTCCTTTTTTTGCAGCCACCTGAAAGGATCAGACATGAGCAACACTTCCTTCTGGCTGAGGGTGGCACTGGGCTCAGCTGTGGTTGCAGTTCTAGGTTTCGCCATCTACAGAGCCGTAGCTAGGCTAAAATAACCAACAATGAGCTAGATGAGATTTTACTTTCTTTAAACATAATCCATCAAGACCAAACCAGAAAAGCAGAACCACTGAAGCCTGAACTGAATAATGTCCTTATCCCCTTTAATTTTTCATCTGAAGACTTCCATTAACCTGTCCACCCTTCCGTCTGACCTCCTCGCTTTGAAGACATTTGATCCTATCAGTTCTGAAGCGACTGGATGCTGGTGATCACATTAGACCCTCTGCTGCTGTGCCCAGCTTTGTTGGCCTTATGCTGAAGAACAGCCTCTAAAGCTATCCAGAAAGGTGCTTTATTATAGAGAGAGCCTGCAGGAAGAGGAGTACAACTCTCCTGCGTATCGATGGGGCTATCTGTTGAGTGTTAAAGATAATATTTCACGCACATCTAGTGGGTTCAAATGACAATAATGCCAAATTAAGCAGGATGAGTACTAGTGTTGGAAACCTTTACAAAGAGGACATCCAGACCAGCTGCTACCAAAACTGTTTCTGACCAAGACATCCCTGATAGTCGATACAGAATCATTGCCAAATAACTCCTGCAACTATGAGCAGCTGTAGCACCATTACCACCGGCTGTTTTAGCATCACGATATCTCGTTTCTTATATTTAAAGCAGATCTTCCATAGAAGAAGCGATACAGAAAGGTTGCTTCTATCGCATGAAGATATTTGATTTTTAATGAAAAGATGGAATATTTTAAGTGTTTGCTGAAATTTCAGAAACAACACGCTAATCAGGGGGAGCAAGGTGAACATTGAATGCTGTACTTTTGAAGGAAATGATTCGATTATTTTACGTGCCTCCGGTTTCCTCGCTCCACGGTTCCGCCCCGAAAAAATGTTTTAGTGAGAATATTTAGTTTTATTTTTTTCTCTTCTTTTATGCGTGACTGACTGAACTTGTTACAGAACCTATTGTTTGTTTTTGTTTTTCTTCCTTAACATAAATCAGTTCTATGTGTGATTAAACCGAGATTCTGATTGGTTCTGCAGGAAACATTCCTGTGATTTTCAAATGCTTTTATTACTGAAAGTGATTTTAGATGCTTAATAAAGACTGGACCAGATTGGATGAAAACTCCTGACCTGTTATGGGTGAGTTTATTGTGATTGATGTAAAATACACTCACCAGCCACTTTTATTAAGAAAGAATATGGAAACATCAATACACACTGTGATGTATCAGAGCTGCATGGTTCTAGTGGAGGTTTAATGATCTGGGGAGAAATTCCATATTGGGGTTTCTGCCTTCAGCAGAAATAGTGCAGCGAGTTAAAAAACTGTTTTATGAACAATTAGTGACTTTGCTCCTGTAATGACCCTAATTTTGGCATGTGGTGCAGAAGTTTGTCTTCTGGGGCGCATGAATCTGAAATCACTTGGTGATGCCATCATCTAAGAATCTCTAATGGATGTTTTAAGACTTTATTCTTTTGTGCTAGGAATAAATAAATGAGTTGAGGTAGCAACAAAGTTTACCTAAAAAATGGCTTAACAGATTTTACCATAAATCATAAACAAAGATATGCTTTGTCTTTTTTAACCTTTAAATAAGTCCAGTGCCTTTCAGACGTCATAACATTTTCAGAGTTTATTCATATTTTTAACCGTTTTTAACCTTTACATGCCTCTAGTTGGCCTGCTGTTTAGCTTTAAGGAGAAGGCGCCTGTTCCTTAAAGTTACCACTAGATGGCAGTGTTTGGGAAGCAGAACTTTCTTACATGGGTGTGTCGACAGATTCCCCCCTCTTTCTCTGCATCCGACTTTATTCAATCTAAATTGCTGCATTTATTTGTTAAGCCTTTAATACATTATTTGAAATAATGTCTTAAAAGTCACTTATTTAAAAAAAATTTTGATCACAAAATGCAACTTGGATTAATATCCTTTCTAGGTGCCATAAATAGTAGTTGGCTCCAGTGGCCCCTTGCTGAATTGTTTCTGTACTAATTTGAATGCATAAATGGCCTCCCCCTTTTGGCATTTATCGTAATTGATTTATGTTTATCACCCACTCTCGCTTCAGGTTCACATATTTTGGTCAGAATGTGAAGCGTTGTATTTTAAAGTAAGAGTAAGGTTTCAAAAGCTGTTTAAATGAGTATATACAATCATTTACAGAACCAGAAGTGAGACATTTACTTTTATTAAGCTGAATTAAAGTTTCCCCTAGAACTGCACCTAAATAAAACTTATTTTATGATTATATTTGGTTGTGCCTCCCGAAAATCATTAGTAACTGGCATCTTAGGTAGTTTTAATTATCTCTTTATAAATGAGAGTTAAATAAATACACAAAACAAGAAAAGTTCAACTCCAATCAGCTTATTGTAATATATTAAAGTTAAATTAAAATTACGCTGCAATAATATATGGCTTTGTTTTTGAAAACCTTCAAATATCTCTGATAATACAGCTAATACACTTATAATACTGAGTTTAACCACTTATCAGTTTATTACTGAAAAGATGTTTAAAAAAAACACCTGAAAATATATATATTTTTTATCTATACTATTTAACTATTCTCTCCTGAATTAAAATCCATATAATCTGTAATTGCTTTGCATTATTGCTTATCTCCATATGTCTATCAGTAATTAACCATGATCCTGTTTATTTAATGGAAATAGCTTCACTTAAAGCACTATCAGGTTTTTATAGCTATTATATAAATGTAAATAAAGGGAGCTCAATTCCTCAGTGAAAAAAATAACTATAATAAAGGACAACAAATCCAAACTGTTGTTTTTTTTATTACATACATTGCAAATAGGCTTTAGGGTGGTTTAACATATTGATGTGGATCCTGTAGAAATGTTGCTGATGTCCATGGTCTATACATTGAAAAGGCTTCACTCTTCAAAGACGTGTTTGCTGGATGGATCCATGCACTATCAAGAACTATTCATTAGTCTAATTTTTTGTTTATAATATATATATACATTTTTCTTCTCAGTAAGATCCTAGACTTCAGGATCAGAATCAACTATAAACAGAAAAACAAATCAACACCATTAGTTTTACAGTCTATGCTATGTTGCAATGAATGGAAAAAGAAAAACTACAGGTATAAAACAGCAGGATTTGCATGAGATCTTACAAAAATAATACATATACGAAAAAAAAAACTTCTTCAGGTATTTACAGAAAGTTTGTATGAAAGAGTCCGTTCACTTCTTTTTTGCAGTCTTCGCTGCCTTCTTGGGGGTCTTGGCTTTGGGCTTGGCTGCCTTCTTCACCGGTTTTGCCTTTGGCTTGGCCGCTTTCGGCTTCTTCGCCGGCGCTTTTTTGGCTTTCGCAGGCGTCGCCTTCTTTGCGACCTTTTTCACTTTCTTAGCGGCCGCTTTCTTGGGTTTTTCCGGCGTCTTGGTGACCTTTTTGGGCTTGGCCGCCTTCTTGGGTTTGGGTTTGACCACTTTCTTGGGCTTGGGTGCGGACGCAGCCTTGGCGGCGGGCTTCTTCGTATCCTCCGGCTTGGTGAGCCTGAAGGATCCGGACGCGCCGATGCCTTTGGTGTGGCGCAGCATCCCGGACGCCACCAGCCTCTTCAGGGCCATCTTAATCTGGACGTCGGCGTTGTCGCCCACTTTGTAGTTCTTCCTCACGTACTTCTGGATGGACTGTCGGGACGCTCCGCTCCGGCTCGCGTCGTGAACAATAGCCGCTTTAATCATGTCCGAGTATTTGGGATGCGAGGTGGGCTTCTTGGGTTTTGATGCCCTTTTCGCCTTTGCTGGAGCGGCCGTCTCTGCCATTGTGACTTTTTTTTTCAATAAGTTAATAAAAACTCTTGGAGGGGATATTTCACCTTTTCGCTTGACCGGCAGAAAACAAAGAATAAAATGTCTTTCCTAAAAAGAATGCAGTAGATAGAAAAGTTTTAAAAAGATTATCGTAATATTAGTGTCCAAAAAATCGTGTCTTCAGAGTCCGGCTCCACTTTAAGTGTCTTATTCCACAGGCGCTCCATTCAGCCTATGAAGCCTATCTGCGGACGTGATTGAGAACACCAACTGCCAGCAGCTGATCTAGCGGACTCCATGGAACTGGCGCCGTCCCGTTTGTGTTTCTTCATCCTCCATCTCCCGTCAAATATAAAAAATAAGCATCCTCCCCGGTCCGCCGGTCCCGACGGGCCGATGCTGAAGGCATCGGGCTTCACCTCCGCGCGCTTTTCTCCTTTTGTTTCCACCGGCGAACAACTTTTATTCCAGGAAAACCCGCTGGAAGGAGCGCGCGCCGCCAACAATTTTGCACAATTCCCGTCAAATTGACCCGAACAGACGGAACCAGGCGGGATGTCAGAGGATGCACGTTGAAAATGAATCTTTAACCGGACGGATGAGAGAAGTTCCGAGCGTGCGGAGCTTCGTTTATCCTTTTAATACTTCGATATATTTTCCCAACTAACACAGCCCGGCCATTGACTTTGAATGACGTGTTCGAGATTATTTGCTGTTAAACCTCCTATAAATCAAATGTCGCGACCTTTAAGCTACAGATGACAGATGAGACTTCATCTGGGCTTTATTCGGGTTCCAATGCAATAGTTTGGTTTGCTTTATTTCTCGCTTTTGAGGCCGATTAGGTTATAACTATCACTATGGCAGTCGCCTCTGGAGCCTCCATTGTCAGGAAAGTTGCCAGCTCCTCCTGAGATCAGGTGAAGTTAAGGCTGTTCAGATTAAGGTTTATATATTATTTGACGGGGATTAAAGCTGGATGATCATTCTGCGTTCAGGTGCGGGTCCAGCTGCAGGGGGGCGGGGGGGAGCAGACTGAAGCTGGAACCAAAGTCCTTCAGTGCAGGGCGCAGTGATGGCTCTTTTGTTAAGGAGCTGGCGCATCAGAACCCATTCAATTACTGCCCCTACATCCGGTCTCCCTCTTTACTATTAGGCTGAGCACAGCCATGCAAAGCGATATGAACCCCCCCCCAATAAAACTTCAATCTCTATACACAGCTTTATCTTTCTTATTTTGATATTTGCGCTGCTGTTTCTCCCTGCAGCGCCATTTTGATTCCTATATATGAAAGTCACAAACACAGAACTGTTCTTTCCCCTCGACTTTTCTATCATAATTATGTTGTTCAAACCCTTCTTTGAAAAAATAATCATATTCCAGCAGATCCTGCATAATAACACCGAGTAGTGCCTCTTATTAGGGAAGCTCCTCCACTATCAAGACTAATGCAGGATGCAGCTCACTTCACTATTGTGCAATTACATTTTTCACATATTAAACATAGTCTATCTAATCTTTTAATTATATCTAATAAATACTGTCACCTAAAACAAAACATTTATTACCTTTTATAAGAGATATTTTTTTCTTTTGTTTGTGAGGCTGCATGTTTGCAGGAGGATGGATGGATGGATGAGGGTGGGTGTGTTAGTGAGAAAGGCACTAGTTGCTAAGGGAGGGGGGAGGTGACTGAGCTGATGTATATTTAAATGAAAAAAGGGAACCATTTATTAATAAATAGATGCTTTATGCACCATAAGTTATAATGAGACAATGCAATATGTTTTCAACTGCTCTCCAGGCTTTGAGGAAACGAGACATTTTGGGATATTCTTGGAACCATTACATGGTTCTTGGTTAAAGTCGTGGTTATTCCATAGGAATGCAGGGTTGTTTTTATGTGTTGTCTGTATTTTTCTGAGCGCTTGTGCTTCCTTTTGGAAGCATGGGCGTAAGCTTGCATAGGGACCATAGGGACATGTCCCTACATAAATTTTGGACCGACCTACTTGTCCCTACCAACAATTACATGTGAATAAATGTTTATAATTTACAATACAGCGTAGTTGCAACAGTAGAGGAATTCTAGATGGAGAGTATTGACAGACGAAAACATGTTTTATCTAGAATGCAAAATTTATTAATTTATTTTTTTTTTTTACAATTTTGGTATAATTCCTGCTCTAAGTGGGTTGCTCTGTGAGCTAAAGACATGTTTTAGAGTCTCTATACTCCAGTTAACGATTAATTGATTACTAAATTTGTTGACATTATTTCAATAATTGATTAATCCGAAGAATTGTTTCAGGCCTAAATAAAAAACATGAAATCGG